TCCTTGCTCAAACCAAAATTAGATCAAGTCTTTTAGGTTAAGACAAAGATAAAAGCTACCTAAGAAGAAAATAAAGTGTCAAGGGTATTAATGGCAAAGAAATAACACTCAGGTTTCTGGATCTTTTCCTGATGCCATTGAATTAAGTGTTCCAGAGCTGTATTTAATCTGTTACGCCTGCTTGTTCTGCTCAATGTGTTAAAAGTGCTTCAGATCAAGTTTTTTTTTTTTTTAAAATTCTTGTGTTTAGGTTAAGGCACTAACATGTGCCAGAAAATGTTGCAGTATCTCTGTTGGCCTTTGGTGGATTATGTATTGCTAGGTGCTGCTATGGTGTTGAACTGGAAGTTCTTGTACGGAGTTATGGTGATATAATCATTACACTGTTGCTTAGTTGATTGTTTTAAATAAGATATATGTCATTTTAGGGCAGTGGAACTGGAGAGGCCCGAGACATGTATGTCCCAAACCCATCCTGCAAGGAATTCCTCAAATATGAGTGGATTGGGCAAATAATGGGCGCAGCTCTACGCGGCAAAGAATTTCTGGTTAGTATGCAATATTGACTAATTTTTCCTTGATACCAGAAGCCATATTTCTTCATACTGAAGTCACTTCATACTTTCTGTAGACATATGTTTTCTGAACATGTGCTCTGTCCTTCATTTATGCATTCATTTAAAATTGTGTCCCAAATGTACTATAGGAACAAAAATGGGGAATGTTAGATGCTTCCATGTCTTTAAAAATTATTAACCTGCATGTCTACTCCCTTTATGTCTTATGTCACGGAAAGGGGGGGGGGATATTGGAAAAATGTCATTCCAGAAAGAACAACAGTCTATTCCTTGAAGTTGAATGCTTCATTCTTATTTATTGATCAAATTGAAGGCATATGTTCTTTTTTCTCTGGGATTCCTTTTTTTTATGTTTATGGCTATTCCCTTTCATAGATGCATTTGGTTTGTTAATTCAAAAACTTTGTTTCTTTTTTCATTTAGAATTTTGACATAGCCTAGGGTTAAGTGTAAGTTGTCTCTTTTTCAGATCAAACAATTATCAATTATTTTCTATCTGAAACTATAAATCAGCACAGCAAAAAACTGATCAACAGCCCTCTTTTCTATAGAGCCTATTCTCATCAGACATTTGAGATAACTTGGGACAATATTTCCTATTTCATTGTCACAAATTTAAGTGTTTTTACAAGAAGCTGCATTGGCAATAAAGCATCTTCCACCTGACCCATGGACATAATATGCAGTTAAGAAGGGGAAATGCTAAACTATAAATATTTATAGTGGGTCCTTCTCAATACAAATTATCCTTTTTCTTAATGGAGGACAGTTGACCAAATAACTCCCAATTCTAGATGTAGGCATGTCTAATATACAATAGCAAATTCCTTAGGCTTAGCATCTATCAGCCATTCCCAAAAAATTCAACTATGATGCCAAACTCTTTTATTATAAGGTTACAGTGACAAACGTTTCCAAGTCTGAATGTGCTTTTTCCTCCTTTTATTCTCAGAATTATTCCTACTGCACATTTCATTGCCTAAGATTATGGTATTCTGTGGAATTAATGCCTTAAATGGGGCACAATATTCTGTTTTATTGTTATGTATATACATTTATTAATTTTATTTTTAAATACCACTTTAATAAAAAGCTGAAGTCAGCTAACAAAAAGAAATGCACTTAAAATAATTTCAAGATATTGAAAAACACTGAAACATATCACAAAAGAAACAAAGCAACAATATTTGAAATAAGAGTATCTTCACTCCATTTTTGAAGAATCTGTTTGGACATAGAGAGACCTGAATGACTGCAACTACCCTTAAAATTCTGCTTATCTTCTTCTTTTCTGTTCAAGGTCCTTGCCTTGCCTGGCTTTGTTTGGAAGCAACTGACAGGTGAAGAAGTGAGTTGGAATAAGGATTTCCCTGCTATTGACTCAATGCTGGTAAGTCATGAATGGTATTTCTGTTTCAAGGTTAAAACTGATCTATATGCTTCTCTCCATTTACTTGCTTTGGGGACTAGAAATATGGAATAATACATAATTGAGTGATGGCTTGAACTTGTTTTTTAAAAGAGTCATTGAGGAGGAGGGATAGAACTTCCTCGCACCTTAGCTTTTGTAGAGGAGATCATCTAGAAATATTGTAACATCTATCAAAACCATCAGAATGTATCTCTTAAGTGTTGTGGCCTGCTGGCGGCCAGCAGAGCTGGCAGCAGAGTCGGCAGCAGAGTCGGACAGTGAGGAGGTTGGGGAGGAACTTGGGCTATTCCTGGGGACTGCTCGGATGAGGGCTCTGTATCAGAGGCAGAGAGGGAGTTAGACAGCAGCGAGGCAGAGGAACAACTGGAGCCCGTTCCCAGTGTGCGCATGCGCAGAGCTGCCGGAAGACAAGAACAATTAAGAAAGCAGGGTAGACTTGGGAGTAAGGCCACACCTTGGAGATTATTGGCCCCTCCCATAGGACATAAAAGAGGAGCGAACGGGATGTGGGCTTTTGCAGGAAGCAATTAGTTAATCTCATTTCAAGATTGGAAAGTTCTGTTCATGCTTCTAATAGACTCGGTGCCAAGTTTGGCCTTGCTCTGCATTTGGAAATTGGTTCTCTGGCAGCATTCCAAGTGAGATAAGGTGAGGGTTGATAAACATTCCTCTGAAAGACTATTTGCCAAAGCCTTGTTGACTGTGAATGAATGGAATTCACAGTCGTGTTAATAAAAGAGGTTTTACCAGGATTAAGGCTTTGCGTCATGCTTTCTAAGGAAGCCTAGGTCAGAACATTAAGCATAATAATTTTTTGTTCTTTTGAAAACACTTTGACCATACATTATTACACCACCTAATGATGGCTTCAATTTAATCAGAATCCCAGCGATCTCTTCCTAATTTTCTTGGTTTCTTTCCATGCTCTCAGGTAAAACTTCTGGAGATGATGGAAGGAATGGACAAGGAGACCTTTGAATTCAAGTTTGGAAATGAGTTGACCTATACCACCGTACTGAGTGACCAGCGCATGGTGGAACTTATTCCTGGTGGCATTCGCACTGCAGTGCACTATGAGAACCGGCTAGAGTTCATCCATCTGGTACAGAAAGCACGGCTGAATGAGAGTAAGGAACAGGTAATTCAGTGTGGCATTTTAGTAGTATAATCATTACTTTTTTCCTCTATAGTTTATCATCAGTCTGTATCAACATGTTTTAGGAGATGCTGGGCATTGTTTAAGTGAATTGATTACAGAGGCAATATTGAAGAAAATTTAACAGAAAGCTATACATTTTCATGGACTTGTCAGGAAAGAGTTATGTGTTTTTGGAAGAACTGTTCTCCTACGCATGTCTTTTTGATCTTACGTATTCTTTTCTTACCTCTTTTTCCTAATCTTCTCCCAGATTGCAGCCATGCAGGCTGGACTTCTGAAAGTAGTTCCTCAGGCTGTCTTGGACCTCCTCACTTGGCAGGAACTGGAGAAGAAGGTCTGTGGTGACCCAGAAGTTACAGTTGAGGCCTTGAAGAAGCTCAGTATGTATCTCTGACACTTGGACTTCCTGTTGTGTATGAGAATGCTCTCATCTTTAGGAATATACTGTACATAGTCTTCATTGTATCTACTGTTAGCTCCACACACAATTGCTAGTTAGTACAGAATCCCAACACAATTACTTTATTGAAAAAGTGTGTGGTGAGTTTGAGCTAATTTAGTAAAATCTTTTGCCTCTCAACTAATGAATGTTTCTTCCTCTCTAATCAGATGGATCTTGGTATGTAGTTGGTAATACTGTTTCTGCACTGTTTCTGTTTTTATCTTCTTACAGCTCGCTTTGAGGATTTTGAACCATCAGACACCAGAATTCAGTACTTTTGGGAGGCCTTGAACAACTTTACTAATGGTGAGCACAGTAAACAAATGTTTACTGTTGTGTAATACTGGATAAAAGGGATTTTCTGCCATTTATTAAATGATTGCAGAGTCAAGCATATTTTAAGAAACTTTTCCCATTGAGAATTACCACAGTCTCTCCTGCAGAACCCATTGTTGATAACTGAACTTGCTGTAAACATTTTTCTTTTCTTAAAAAAAACACCAGTTATTTCAGATGATGAGGGGAGAAGTGGTGTCAGATTAAGTAAATTACAGCAGAATAGAGAAGGTGAAAAGTTTTCACCACAACTTCTGTCATATATTTGGTTGCAAGTTACATTTTGACTCATTGAATAAAAAGTAATTCCTGCTTTCCAAGGCTAGCATCTTGAGACCATGTCAGATGTCATTCCTATTTCATTTTCCGGGAGGTATATTATGGAGAGGGACTTGTGATGAACTGATGAAAGCCATGTACTTTTCTCCTTAGAGGATCGCAGTCGCTTTCTGAGGTTTGTTACGGGGAGAAGCAGACTTCCAGCTCGAATTTACATCTATCCTGATAAATTAGGGTGAGTCCCGCTTCCCTCTTTGGGAAAGAAGACTGATTACTGGTCCTTTGGAGTTTTATTATCTGGTAGATTCTTCTGACTTACTTTATTTTCTTCTGTTTTATGGCCAAGCTCGGAGACCACCGATGCCCTCCCTGAATCATCCACTTGCTCCAGCACTCTCTTTTTGCCCAACTATGCCTCGTAAGTCTTGCTCTAGAAACCATTTTTATGGTAGAGCAGAGGTGGGAAATGATGGCCCCTTATGATTTCAACTCCCAAAAGTTATACTGGCTCAGGAATTCTGGGAGTTGAAGTCCACAAGTCCTAAAGGGGCCATTGTTCCCCCCACTGTGAGATAGAGACACAGAAAAGACAATTTGGGGAAGATTATATAATATAATAGCAGAACAGCAAGGATTGTTACATGCTGACCAGGGAAGGGATATTCACAGTAGATAATGGGAAGAGAAGACAGTTATGGGAGTAGAAGAACTAGAGAAGTGTAAGAAGGAAAATATTACTCTATACCACAAGACAGGCAAACAGGGAGACTATGATAGTGAAGTAAAACTTTAATTGAACAACGATAGATTGGTAAACCAGAGATGTATTGGGGATTTTCAGAATACCTGGAAATGTTAACCTTTTTTTTTTTTTATTTCTAGTGCCAAAGTTTGTGAAGAAAAATTGCGTTATGCAGCTTATAATTGTGTGGCCATTGATACCGACATGAGTCCATGGGAAGACTGAAACCTGGAAGGATGATGGTTTTGCTGACGGTGGTCTGATTTTTGTCCTTGCTACCTGGAAGAAGCTCTTGCACTCTGTTCATCCTGACCCACCTTCCACAAAGTGTATATGGGTGTACATATCTAGAAAATAAAATATCAGATGTGAACATTATGTGAACATGCTCCTTTTCAAGAGAAGCTTGAGCAAAAGCTTCTTGCTAGTGGAAGGCTGGGTAAGATTTGTGATTCAATAATTTAGTTAATGCTAACTTTTCCTTCTCTAGGAAAATATAGTAAATATAGTAAAATACTGCTTTGTAGTAGGATTCTTACATTTTTGGAATCAGGCATATTTTGTGACACAGTTCCCTGCTGAAGTTTTTTTTTACATTTTCATTTCTGCTTCTTCCTTAGACTGCAGTTGTATTGACACGTAACTGGGAGTAAGCTTAATGGAACTCAGTAGGGTTTATTTTTTGACTACACATTTGGACCAAAAATGTGTGAATTACATACAAAACATATACTTCCCTGTCCCTAATTCATTCAGAGATTATATTTCAGAGTCTCTTTCGCAGCAGTCAAGATATTATTTCCATTTACTTGCCTGCTTTTATGCAAAACCACAAATGTCTGCTTCCCTTCTTTTTTGCCTCTTATTCTGACAATTGTACCTTAATGATTTTTCCTTTAATAGCTGCATAAACACCTCCGACCACGAGTGGGCATTGTGGAACCATAATTGAAAAAAATCCCTCCCTTAGCCTACAATTAAGATGATGTTTTGGGGTTTTATTTTAATGGTCAGCACCTCCTTTCCCTTCTTTCTTCTATCTCTTATACCTTTATACCTAAAAGGAAAGTAGAGCCATTCTCTGCTTGTGTAGGTTAAAGAGTAAATGTTCATCTGCTTATTCCAACCTAGCTATTTCTTCTGGCTAACTCCCTTAAAGCCTTTCCCAAAAGTTCTACCTCTTGATTACTATCTTGAGTAACATTGCTAAAATGTGCTTAGTTTCTGAAAGCTTAAAATACCAAATCCATACATTTTTTGTGCAAAGAAGGGAAGGGACAAAACTGGAAAGAGCTTTGGGGTGGGGGGTTAAGAAGAGAGACAAGTTTTTTTGACAAGCGATAACAGTAGTGATTATTCACCCTAATTCATGCTGCCGACCCTCCCCTTTTACTTTACTCACATGGTCACAGCTGTATTGGTACATTTGCCCCGTTGATGCCCCAACATAAGGATTTTGACGGGATGGGAGACCTGAGTCCTCTGCCAAAATTGCACACGCTGTGGACTGTAGGTTAGCCGCTTGGGTGGGCCGCCAGAGTTGGCGGCTATTGTTGCCACATAATGGGCTTGATTGGTAATTGGGGAAGGGAATTTGGCGGGGGGTGGTGGAGAGGGAGGGAAAGGAGGGACGGTGCCATCTCTGCAGCTGGGCTTTTGTCATGCAAAGCGGGGAGCAGGAAGGGAGGCTTCTCGGTTATCTGGCAGCTTCTCTTCGGGGCTGCTCCCTCCTTTTACGCTTTTATTTCTTCACTTTTTTTTTTTTTTTTTTTTTACACCCGTCATCTTCGTTTCGCCTCTCCAAACGAGCGAGGCTTCTCCGTCTGTCGCCCTAGCTCCAAGACCAGCCCGGGAAGGCCGCGCACCCGCTCGGGGAAGGCGCGGATGAAAGCATTGGGAAAAGGCTACGGTCGCTGCAGAAAGGCGGGGGTGGGTGGGAGGCGTCTGATTCTGCCGTATTCATTGCATCTACCTCTTCATCACTGAATCGGACAGGAAAAGCGCGGGGAGGGCAGGGGGGGCGGGCGGAGAGGCGAGGGGCTCTCGGAGGTGCTGGCGGCCCCCCGAGGCGAGTAACAAGAACCGGGGATTAGGCGGGGAGGCCTGCTGGGCGAGGACGTGTAAATCCCGTACCGCCTGTGGCGGGGGATTAATTACGGACCACCCAGCAGGCGGGGAGGGCACCGGCAGGAAGGTTGTGTCCCGAGTTCAAGAGGCAGTGAAGACGCCTGTTGGCTGCCGGGCGGCTCGGGGAACAGAGGAGAGGAGCGCCCCGAAAGCCGGCTGGCCTTTTCCCTCCTCACGGCGGGTCCGAGCTCCCAGCCGTGTTTAGGAGGAGCTCGACGCAAGGCGAGTGGGCGTAGCCGACAGCCCGGGATGCCCGAGACTTTTCGGACAGGGGCACCTCGCCCTCCCCCCACCCGGGAGTTGAGGCTTACTGGGCTTCAGTTTCCTTTCTGAAAGGGCAGCGCCCCCCCCTCTCAGTAACAGTAACAAGAGTTTGTTTGTTTGTTTGTTTGTTTATTTGTTCGATTTATATATGCCGCCCTTCTCCGGAGATTCAGGGCGGCTTACAATGCATTAAGCAATAGCCTTCATACTTTTGTATATACCTGCTTAGTAGGGCTTTTTGCCCCCCCCTCCCCCGCGGTGTTCTATTTTATACAAAGTCAGTTTATTGCCCCCACAATCTGGGTCCTCATTTTACCTACCTCGAAAGGATGGAAGGCTGAGTCAACCTTGAGCCTGGTGAGAATTGAACTCGCAGTAATTGCAGGCAGCCGGCAGCTAAGTTCTACTTTAACAGCAGCAGTTTAGTCCACTGCGCCACCAAGGGACCTTGGAGGGCATCTAATCTAACCCCCTTCTCTGGCGGGAGACCTAAACTATTTCTGATAAATGGCTAATGCAATCTCTTCCTAAGAGCCTCCAGTGATGGGGTCCCCACAACAAGGCAATTTGTACCACTGGTTAATTGTTCTCATTGTTAGGAATTTTTTCCTTAGTTCTAGGTTGCTTTTCTCCTTGGTTAGTTTCCATCCATTATTTCTTGTCTTGCCTACTGGTGCTTTGAGAAACAAGTTGGCCTCCGCTTCCCTGTGGCAGTCCTTCGAGTATTGGAGGATGCTATCCTGTCATCCCTGGTCCTTCTTTCCTCTAAACTAAGTATACCCAGTTCCTACCTTTTAGCTTCTAGGCTAATCATTTTTGTTGTTCTTTTCTGAATTCTTTCCAAAGTCTCAACATCTTTTTTGTATTGATCAAAGCTAGATGCCGTATTCTAAGTGTGGTCTTACTTAGGCTTTGCAGAACAGTACTAGGACTTCAAGTGATCTTGTTTTTACCACTCTGTTAATGCAATCTAGGATTGCATTGGCTATTTTGGCTGTTGCCAAAAAAAACAATGTTCTCTCCCTCTCTCTCTCTCCCTCTCTCTCTCCCCTCCCTCCCTCCCTCCCTGTCTCTCTCACACACAGTTTCATTACTTTATAAATACAATAAAAGACTAACACAAATTAAGAAAAATATATATTTAAAAAAAGAGAAGTGCCAAGAGATAGAAAAAACATATAAAGTAAGAAACAAAGATATAGAAAAGAGGTTATAGAAAAAATGCTTTTAAAAGCCTCTGACGATCCCAGCTGAGTTGCCTGATCGTCAAAGGCTTTTAAAAGCATTTTTTTCCTGCAACCTCTTAAGGTTGTACAAAAAATGCTTTTAAAAGTAAAAAAAAAAAAGTTGGCCATGCCTACCCAGTCACATTACCCCCCTCCCCCATCAAGCCACGCCCACAGAACCGGTAGTAACAAATTTTACATTTCACCACTGGGTAAAATTCACTTAACAAATGTCTCACTTAACAACAGAAATATTGAGGTCAATTGTTGTAAGTCAAGGACTACCTGTATTAAAGTGGCTATGAGAGCTGGAGGGCAGGGAAATAGTGTAAAAGCAGGGAAGGAAGTCTAAAGAGCCAGGATTGGATTAGGAATTGTGAGAGCTGGGTTCTATTCCACCCTTAGATGGTGACTTTGGGCTAATTGTTTTCTTCCTGAAAAATGGTTGACATTGTGGGGAAAAATAGCAGGAAACATTTTGTTTTCTATTTTGAGTTCCTGAATGAAAGCAAGAAATAAAAGTAAGCAAGCTTGTTTTTTATTTCCAGGAATTAATGGACATCAACTGGACTCAGATCCCAATCTTGAGTTTGTTCTGAGGAGAACCAATCATAGACCTTCCACAAATACATATATTCTGTTTTCCCTTCACTTTGCAATTCAGTGATATAATTTATGTAGCTATGGAACACATCTGTCATTTTAGAGCTGCTGTTGTTGTTAAACAATTGGCAACTGGAAATCTTTCTATATCATCCAGAAAACTGCCTATAGATTTTTTCTGCCTGTCTATTCTGGGAACAATGTTCAGGGTTTTGAACTGTGTTAAATGTTGAAAGCAGCTGGAAAAGAAAAATCCTACGCATTGCTCAAACTGGCAATAATTCAGTTGGGATTGATTTATTTGCTTATTTAGTGCTGGAATTTCAATTATCATAAAGGCCAAAAAAAATCCAGTCAAACATCAGCTTTCCTAGGATTGATGTATGTGTGAATGCGTGCATTAGTATCTATAGCATATGTGTGAATGGCTGATTGCCTTCAGTTAAATCAAGGCTGAAGAAAGACAGTCCCTTCGTGTTGAAAGGGTTTGAGGGAGGTTCTGTCTTTTGGAATTTCTTTTACCCTATTAGTTAAACAGACTTTTTAGGGTTTAAAAACAACATGAATTCTTTTCCCATTCAGTGTATCAACAAGCTGAATGTTTATTCTAGCAGTGGTCTCTTTCTCTCTTTATTATTTCTTGTGAACAGAAAAAAATAATTATTGTTGTTCATTCCTTGCCAATATTGCCATCTTCATTTTTAATTCATAATTCAGCTTCTGTCTCTGAGCACAAATGAGCTGAATGCCTCAGGAACAAGCAGCCTTGAAATTGAGTATCTTGTTAGCATGTTGTCCTGTCCTGCCAAACAGCTTTCTTCAAGGCTTTCTCTGTGCTCTTTAAATAACAATTGCCTCTTTGGTTGGCAAGATCTGACTAGGATTGCAGTCTGTGTGCTGATTTCAATAGAGAGGCAAAAATGGAAACTTCCTGACTGTTCAGACTTAACCTGGAAGATGACAGGTCTATTTTAAGGAACAGATTTGATCTTTTAATAAATGTTGTAAATGTAAGTAGGAAAGGGGTAGGTTTCCTCATACTTGTAGATCTGGAAAAGAGTTATGAACCACAGTGTAGTTGCTAGACATTACTTATAAAATGCATGATATAGTATGATGTATCACTCTCCTGCACAAATAGACCTTGATTTACGACCACAATTAGAGCCACAATTTCTACTTCCAAGAATCAGGAAGCTGATTCGTCCCGAGAAATGGACTTACATCATGCTATGAAGCAACTGGTTTGAAAATGGAAGGAATTGTGCTTTTAACAGACAGACACTGAGCTTGGAACCCTAGAGAACCATTGTGAGTTAGTATAAAGGGATGCTAGTAACACTCTATTAATTGCACTTTTACAGGCTGAATTTGAATCCTTAGTGTTCAACATGAACAGCTACTTTAGTTGCTAATCTGAAATGAATCAGCTAAGACAGCCCTTCTATCCTTCTAGGAAGATTCTACATTTTTTCTCTTGGGAGTAGCCATAATTTTGAATTAAAGTTACATGTTGATGCATCAAACATCTGCCTATTCATATGCTTTTTTTCATAATCAAACTCTTGCTAAAGCCATTGCACGCTGCAAACTACAACTAACAGTAGGAAAAAGGAGTAACATTGCTTTTTAAAATGAACACCCCTAACTGAACCTCTAAGCTTCAGTGCTGTGTGAGAGAACTCAGATCTCTATTTGTTTTTCTTCATTCTGTTTGTTGCTCTGCTTGTGGAATTGGCTCAGCTGTGGTCCCTGTGGCTGCTGACAAGACATATCCATGCACATGTAGATCTGTGCCATTCTGTGCTGCCTTCCTCCACGCACTATGGAAAATAAACACTACCAGACAGCTGCAGTACAGCCACTACTAAGGAGAAGGTGGAGTAGGGAGGCTGATTTTTCCAGGAGGGCAGCAAGAGGGATGGGTTAACTCATTTCAGTATGGAGAACTTTGTGTCATCTAGGATTTCATCAGGAAAATGTAAGATGCAGGTCTTTCTCTTGCAGTCTACCTTTCATTTTCAAAATAGCAAGCTAAGTTGTACCTTCCTGGAACAATTGTTTTCACATTGTTCATTCATAAGCCTCAGCTCTCTGCCAGTTTACTTGGAATTTTCTTTCCTGCTTTTATAATGAAATTGTTTGTGCTATCAATTAGTTTAAACTTTTGGCCAAGCACTATTTTTCAGATGGAAATCTTCCACTATAGGTCCACACCTAGAAAAACCACAGGTTCTTCAACATCAGTTTGGAACAAAGAACAACACACAGGATCACTAGAAGATAGGTTTATATATAATATATATTTACTTTTAAAAATAAAAATTCCATTGCAAGGCTAGAAGTCTGTACAAACTACAAAAATAAATCTTTCTTTTTCATATAAATAATTTATATGGCAAGACAACATTATCAGGTTAACAGATCTCTAGCACACCCACTACATACTCTCACACGCGCACGCACACAAATACACATACAATGTGTCCACTTTTCATCATGTTTCACTGGTCCCAGATTTGGTGGGGGGGGGGAGGGGTTGATTTTTCAGAAGCACTCAGTTCTTTTTAGACAGTGGAAGGAAGGAATTTAATGGTGGGAAAACTTTGATCTAAATGCTGGCCAGGTCAGTGGCCCTAGAGTAAATTAGTTTTGGGAAATTTCTCTGGACTCCAGAAATCAGTGATGTTTAAAATAAACTGAATGTGCTCATTTTAACAAGAGGCATAAACCTACTAAAGTTTTCACCTTACACAGATGTGAAAATCTCAGCAGTATATTCCCTTGGTAACAAGAAGTGAATCCAACTTTGGCTGGGAATAAAATTACAGCAGTTCTTGGTGAAGGGAAGGGGTTAAAGTGCCTGGGGTTTATAAGGAAGAATGTCAGTGGGAAATGGATTCCAACAAGAATCAACTCTTGTAAGAATATGGGTTGATTGTGATAACAGCCTCTGTGCTCAAGGGGATGATACAATTTTTTTCCTAAGCATGTCACAAGTTCAAGTGAAGCCCTCAGAGTGGCTAGGAGACAATTTACACTGACAATGCTTTAAAAAGGTTAACTTATTGAACATATTAATACCATAGTTAAAATGGTAAACTATTAGTGTCTAAATGTTGGGCAACATCATGCCTAGAAGTCTATAGGGGTGGACTTCCTGCCTTCTGAAATCCCCAAATCGATAATCAGGATCAAATCTAAAACAATTTACCTGCCTTAACTGGTACATAATTTTGTTTTGAATAATTTCATCTTTTTTGTAAGAAAGCTGCATGTGTTTGCATGTATGCATATAATAGATTGTTTCGATCTCAAGGTGTCAAAAATCCTTCACTTAAAAACTTTGCCAGTTGCAGCTTCAACCTCTAATTTCTTGCAACCTATTTGGGTAGACAACCTATTGCCTTCTTGATATTTTGGACTCCCAACAATTTCTTGCCAATGGCTATGCTAGGGCTAATGGAAGTTGAGCTGCAAAATATCCAGAGGGCATTGATCTCTGGTCTGTTGGATTGATGTAGATGACTAATGAAATCATCTAAATCCATATGTCTTACTTTTTTTATTCTTTGTGGAAAATTGCCATATTAATATCTAGCAGATGAAAGAATAGTACATTAAGGAAATATATCATTTGATTTGATGCTAACTTAAATAGGGAGTAGTTTAACATAAGAAAGTTGGTAACGTCGTGTAAATAGACCTAACCCAAAGGAAATATTGATCCAGCTGCCATCTTTTCTCCTTTGGAAAAGGACAGAAAGAAAGGAATAAATAAATAAATAATTACAAGCTGTTTTAACGCCAGGAAAATTTGGGTTTTAACATATATGGTGTCAATCATTCTCTTGTGGTGCCTAGATTAGACCTGGGCAGAAACCAACACTTTAAAGTTCATGGAGAATGCAGGTTGACATTCTGAAATAGAATGAAAAACCAAACTGTTTTATAAAACAATATTGACCTGGTTATGCAGAAACCAAACATACGTATTGGAATTGGGACTTCTCCTTTAGAAGCACCCTGTTGCCAAATGATAGTTCATTTTTAATTTTCTACTAAAGAAGCTGAACCAGAAGGAGAATTCAAGAACAGAAACTGGAACCACAAGATTAAATTTTTAGGCAAGAGATCAAACATTTCTGCTTTGACAATTGCACCAAAATCTTACTGAATGGGAGAGGTTTCTGGTCAGCTCAAAATCTCTCAAAATAGAATCAAAGGATAGTTTCACACATACCGTTTCTTTTACATAAAAATTTCCTCTGGTAAAGGGGAAAAAATGCTTAAGCCACATTTGTCTACCAAGTGTGGCTTGAGTATTTTACTCTAACCATAAAGTTCAGGAAGCCAATCATCTCAGCAGAAGAAAAATATCGGTAAAAAGATCTCAACGATACGCATGGCATCACCCCAATAATAACATGGAGTGAGTGACCTTATTTCATAATATTCTCTCAATCAGGGCAGTATGCAACTGAATTTATCATGTGGAGATCCTTGTTTCTTCTCCGAGTGTTCTTTTTCTAGATACCTTAAATTCTTATGTGCAACACGAGCTTTGTAATCAATGTACATATGTAAGCATTCTGTATCCTGGCATTGTGTCGAGTACCAGGATAACTCTTATCTTTCCTTAATGTTTAAGATCCAACTATGTTTTTTCCTGGGTGGAGATTATTTGGGAGTAATCCCTTACTTCTATTAGTTATGAAGGAGAACATTTAAACACTAATCAGAAATTGCTTAGGGGACATTTGTGTGAGGAACATTTTCAGTTGATATAAGAGGCAAGCAAAGTAAGAGAAAGTGTATACATTATAAGGGAGGGGGCAGGGGTAGATTTCAAAACCCATTGCTACTGGTGCGCAGAAGTGTCCGGGCAGGTGGGCGGAGCCTCCCACCATAGCCACCGGTTTGTCCGATCCGGGGTAAACTGGTAGCAACCAGGGCCGGATTTTCCTATAGGCTAACTAGGCTTCAGCCTAGGGCCTCAAGATCAAGAGGGGCCTACATTCAAATTGTTAGCAAAATTAAAATTACACTTTCACTATAGGTGAAAGGGCCTCATAAGTGGAATAGCCTAGGGCCTCTTTTCATCTAAATCCGGCCCTGGTAGCAACCCACCACTGGGAGGGGGGTAGGAGTAGGATCCAGAACAGAGACATTGCAAATGCTAGGATAGGCAGTACTACTGGTGGGAACCAGAGCAGAAGGCAGCCGCTCCCCCAGTTTGCATAGAACCTTAAGACACATCGCGCCCCCACCATTGCATTCTCCTTTCAGTCCACATTACAACAGGGGTGCTCTCCCTATTACAACTTCACCCTGGTGTTTCCCCTTAAAGGGAAATTGCCACATGTTTACTGAGAGAGCCGTGAAAATAATAAAAATAATTATTATAATTATAAGGGGGAGGGTTGGTGACTCTTTTTATACAGTTTAAAATAATAATAATTATAATAATATTAATAAAAATAAAAGAATAGCAGCACAATGTGGGAGAGTTCCCCACACATAGTTGAGTCCTCTTTTCTCCATGGAGGGTGGCTGTTTGGGCAACTAGCCCAAAGAAAGCCATGAGATGGTTCACATAGCTTGTGGAGAATGGTCACTTTCATTTTTTCAGATTCAAGTAGGCCTGATATTAAATGGGTCACTGGCCCGAACTAAGGGCACAAAATTTACACCCTGACACCCAAGAAATCAGAGTGCTTTTTGGTGCCAGATACACCTGGGAATGCTGAGATATTTTCCTATCAGCTTTTTTGCAATATGGATACTGAAAATAATCTGGTCTCTTTGTTCTCAGCAGTACTGATTATGCCTGCAGTTGGTTGGTTGGATGCAATGCAAGAGTTTCCATAAATACAGCGAACTTCACAATCTGTGGTGTGGGATGTATCTGGCCCCCGTGCTCACTTGGCATGCCGGCCAGCCCTGAGGCAGGAGTTCTAGAGCCAGTGATTTGGCTTGGCAAAGCGGATGGCTAATGATTCTGCTTCAGGTCCTGTAGTTCCAAACTGTCAGATGGTTTGGGGCCTGGTTTTTCAGAGTTATCATCAGATTCAAACCCCTCATGTGTATAGCCCCGGCAAGATCCAGGCAAAGGTGGGTGCAAGGCCAACATCACCGAGGCAGTAGCTGTAACTGTAGTGAAAGTGCCACCAGGTCCTGAAGGTGGTATTTTGGTGCTGTGAGTAATGGAGTTAGTCTGAAGGGGTTTGGGAGTAGACTGAGCTAATTGAGACCCTAGTCTGTGGTTGGGTTGTTCTTGCTGCTGCAAACAACTTTTGATTTCTGTGACAGCTGCTGGCAAATGGCCACCAGGAGTTCTGGATTGGGTCCATTCCGGGCTGCACAATGATAAAGGTGATTCTAGGCTTGTCTTGTAGCTTTTTACCACCTGCACAGGAGAGAAAAGACTACTGTTAGGTATAGAAAGGAACAGCACAGTAATAAAAGTGCTTCTCACAACCATTTAGAAATAAAAGGGAATATAGACACACAATTTGTTGTTGTACACTGTTTGTAAGATCATGAGAAAAGACCTTTAAAAAGTGACTCCTCAATATTTCCCATTGTGATACTATTATTTGACCTTGGAATATCATTTAAAGTCTTATTTTCTCAATGACTCATTGAGTCTCAATGACTATGTCTCAATGTGTTTCCCCAGTGTTGGGTTCTTGGTGCTCTCTGAACTTGGCTGTTTCCTTGCAGACATTTCATTAATAGCTAAGTATTATCATCAGAAAGGGACATGGTGGCTCAGTGGCTAAGATGCTGAGCTTGTCGATCGAAAGTTCAGCAGTTCGAATCCCTAGTGCCGTATAACAGGGTGAGCTCCTGTTACTTGTCACAGCTTCTGCCAACCTAGCAGTTTGAAAGCAGGTAAAAAATGCAAGTAGAGAAATAGGGACCACCTTTGGTGGGAAGGTAACAGCGTTCCATGCGCCTTTGGCATTTAGTCATGCCAGTCACATGGCCACGGAGACGTCTTCAGAGAGCGTTGGCTCTTCGGCTTTGAAATGGAGATGAGCACCACCCCCTAGAGTCGGGAACGACTAGCACAAATGTGCGAGGGAAACCTTTACCTTTTTATTATCATCTGATGGGGTCTTCATTGAAAAGTGTCTAACTCCATAACCCACCAGAAAATAACCATTACAACCTACAAAAAGGACAATACTACTGTATATCAAAAACATATCCAAGACAACTAACAGACTTTCACAACTGTTCAGCATCACTGTAGCATGCAAGCCAACAACATCCCTCTAAAACATTTTAAGCAAATCAGAAAACTCAGTAACCAAAGAGGGAAAAAACCAGGTATCGTCACCAATATATAATGTAAAGACTGTAATTGCCATTGTGTAGAACAGACAAATAAAAGACTGGCAAACCATATCTACCTACACCAATTGGCTGTCCGTAGACAAAATGAAATCTTAACACATGGATACACTCAACCACAGATTCAACTGAGAAATGGTTAATGTTTTAGATCAATCCAAATCCAAAAATGCTAGAGAAAGTCTGGAAGCTTGGCATTCAAATAAACCAGCCATCAGTAGATACATAGAAATAAACCCTGTTTGCATATAATTTAAAGGATGCAATGAGAAAACAAGGAAGGAAATAAACAGCCCAGAATACATCTCCCCCCCCCCGCCCCCCCCCGCACACACCCCAATATCCAGATAAGCAGGAAACTGCACCAGATAAACCCTTGGGGAGAAAATGATATCCTAATAAAAAAAAATCGAGGAAGCAAAGACTGGCAGGGCAAATGACTATATATAAGCACCCAGCAAACTTTAGTCTCCCTTGCACTAATGATTTTACCTAGCCTGGTAATTAAATGTCTACAAGAAAACAACCAAGCTCAGAGAATATCAATAACTGAACAGTTCAGTCCTGAATTACATATCATCTTTTCTGTTGGCTCTTATCCACTTCACATAGAAATATAAGGGGTAAAACATTCTAAAGCAGCAATCCCCAGCTTTTGTGGCTTGGGGGAGAGGGGAGGAGAACCAGGTCGCGTGAGTAGCTGGCCGGCATGCATGCACAACTCCACTTGCATGAGCAGCAGGCTGGTGCGCTTGCACACGCATGTGCACCCCCCTCATCCTATTGCTTGTGCAAGGTGAGTGGCATGTGCACCTGTGCTCGCTGGCCCGCCATTCATGGCCTTGTGGCAAATAGGCCATGGCCCGGTAGTGGGCCATGGCCCAGGATTTGGGGACCCCTGTCCTAGAACATTAGAGACCAAAAAAATCAACAATCCCAGTTTTGATTTTGTCCCTCCTCCAATTAATTAAAGAAAATATGCTCTTATTGGAGCTGCAATCTAGGAATCTTTGGTCTTCTCTTTCTATGAAATAACACCATCTAGCCAGAAAAACCAAGTTGGTTGTTTTGGGCCCTGACTGATACTTACAGTGATTTGGGGAAAATTAGGACTTTTGCTGGCTTTGACCAAGATTTGTGATTGAGCTGGGGAGATGATATATGTGCTGCGGTCATCTTCACCAGTCTCTGATGCACTAACTGTCTCTGAGTAGTATTCTGAGTCTGAGGAGTCACCAAAAGCATTTCCATGTTGGCGAATGTAGAAGCTGTGATGGTTGATGGGCGGTGGGACAGGTGATGGTGTTGGCAAGCGGCTGCCATTATCTGCTGGTGTTACCTGTATGATGAAAAGAAAGAGATGTGTACAGAATAAGGGAACTAGCAAAAGTTCTCCAGCTGATGTGCTTTCAAATGTGACCCTGTAAGCAACCAGCTCAGTCTGGGGCAGGTGTCAGCAACCTGAGGCTCCAGAGCCACATGCGGCTCTTTGGGCCCTCTGCTGTGGCTCCCTGTTGGGTGATCCCACCATTGGCTGGGCCCACCCCTCGCCCTCCTCTCCCAGTCACTTCTCTCCTGGTCTGAAAAGGTAAGAGCAACAGCAGGTAATGGAGAAGCGGCTGTGACAGAGACAGAGAGATACAGAGAGAGAGGGGGGGAGAGAGAGAAAGAGAGAAAAATACAGAGAGGGAGTCATGTGACTGGTAGAAGTGAGTGATGTGGAGTTGGCCATGCCCACCCAAGTTTTGTGGCTCCTGGTGTTTTCTTTTCTGTGGGAAATGGGTCCAAATGGCTCTTTGAGTGTTTAAGGTTGCAGACCCCTTGTCTGGGGTCATTCCCAGAATTGCTTAAAAGTTCTTATATCTGAAGAGCACTTAACTGAAAAAGGCAACTCTATTATCTGTGTATAGCAAATAGTAAATCACAGCTGACATATTTGCTGTTAATTTTATTCATCTAAGTTGGCACTTCCGATAAGAAAATGACATAAGACCCCTACGGTGAAATAGTGCAGATCAGAACATCTATATCCCATTATATTGTTTTCTCAAGGAATCACAAACTTGGAAGGAGTCCAATTGCCTGAGTGCAGGAATCCTGGTGCAGGAATCCAGATTAAAGCACTCCTATCAAACTTCTGTGTGAACATATTCAGGAAGGAAAGCTTGCCTTCTCTTTGGGGGATTGATTCTACTGTAGAACTGCTCTTTCTGCAAATAATTATTTTTTAAGATTCAACCTTACTCTACATCATTATTCTGTGGGTAGCAGAGAACAGTTCTCAGTCAACAGGTACTTAAAAGTGTAATTATATCTATGACTCACGTAATCTATGTGTTAAGGCGAAAAATTGCCAGTTCCTTTATCCCTTCCTTAAAATATTTGATTTTGAGATCTGGAATAACTTTTGTTGCTCTTGTCTGCACTGGTTCCAAATTTTCACAATTTTTCTTAAAATAAGGTGGCCAGAATTAAATTCATGGTGAATTCTGATAATGCAAAATATAACAGAGCAATTCCTTCTTTTTCCCCCTGATTTAGGTTACAAAAATTAGGCTACAAAAAGCAGAAATTAAGCTTCAATTGGTGCAGTCCGAAATTTAATAGTTAGTCAATCACTTTGTTGAAATCAAAGCATAGAGAACAAACGTAATGGAATATATATTTCTCTTCTCTGAGAAAACTGACTCTACCATTTTTTTACTTATCTATGTCACCTTTATGAACAGCTTTTCCCCCTTCCTTTTATTTTGAAGAGAAGAATCTATTTGAAGAAGCCATTACAGGGTCAAAAAAAGGAGTTTTTTTATTGTTATAGTTCTTAACATCCCTCAACTATCTCAGCTCAATCTGAGCTTTAGTTTTAAGATACTACAGATAGTCCTCAATTATGACCACAATTAGGACTGGGATTTTTGATTGCTAAGTGAATCACATGGTTGTTAATAGTTAACCAAATCCAGCTTCTGCAATTGATTTTGCTTGTTGGAAGCCAGCTGTGAATGTCACAAATTACAATCAAGTGACTACATGATGCTGTAATGGTTGTAAATGCATGCTGGCTACTGAGCGACCAAAGTGCAACCAGGTGACTGCAGAGATGGTAGGTTGGATGGAGTTGTAACTTTGAGAAGGGCTCGTATGTCACTTTTTCTAAGGCTGTTGTAACTTTGAACCATCATTAAACAAATGGTTGTTATGTCAAGGACTATCTGTATAGCTTCAATTCAGATAGATAGATAGATAGATAGATAGATAGATAGATAGATAGATAGATAGATGATAGATAGATAGATAGATAGATAGATAGATAGATAGATAGATAGATTCAAGCTATCTCTTTTCATCTCCTACATGTGACCTGCCTCATTTTCAGATCTTTCCAAAATTTTTCTTTGGCTGCTTAGGGTCTTTCATATACCTCCCCCCCTCCCCATTATAATTGTTTGTAATGTGTTTTAGTGTCTCAGTTTAGGAATTCCTACCTACTTTTTGACTTCTTTGTCATGTTACTAAGTTTTTGTCCATGGAATCCCTACTTATTATTGTTCAGATCTTATGTTTTGCTTTCTTAAAGTTCAAAGTATGTGTCTGACTATATTTGAAATTAATTTCCCTTAATATTAAAACTTTCATAATTATACAGCAAACCCTGAAAGGTATTGATGGTAAAAGAAAAAAACCCCTGATGTCCAATTTACTTATTGATAATGATTTCCCATAGTACCTGGACAGTCTCTTAACAAAATCTGCCAATAGGATTCAGAATCCTTTGTTCTTTTTTATGTATTAAGGTTTTTTTTAATGTATCTTGGAACAAGCTATTCGGGAACAGAAGATCACTTACCTCTGCAGGTGGTCCAATAATAGAAAGTAGTACAGGCAATAGTACCAGGCCATTAAGTAGCCCCAGAATAGTCAGGATAGTAAGCACGGCAAAGAAATATCTGGAATGGAAGATGGAAATTAGTAATTGGTGCAGATTTGGTTAATCTGCCCATAATAAAACCTTCATTGCTAGATTCAGTAATTGTTCCTACTTTCCTTCTCCATTCTGGAGCTGAAACACAATATGTAGGTTCACATGTCATGCTAAATCGTAAGCAAACTAATCACATAATTGATTAGTGCAATGTACGAACTTAGCCAGGCGTACAGAAAGGCATTTATCCAGAAGGTAGCTGTAAGCCTCACTAGGTAGACCAGACCAGGAAATCAACTGCACAGGAAGGCTAAAACTGCTTTTATTGAGAATGGCTATAGTAGGGGAATCTTGCAAGTTTAATCGCACTGCATCAACAACTCCTTCCTATACTCTGGTGAATCAGGGAATCTACCTGAATCTCTTTGGTTAGTTAACTCCTTCAACTTATTCAACTGGAACACATTACTGAAATTCCCCACTATCCATCAGGGGGAAAAAACGCCTTCTCTTATTTGATACCCTAAGATATGGATCAGCAGTTTCAAGCTGTTGGTGACATACCCCAGAAAGCCATAAAAAGTGTAGGGCTTTGAGACTATCATAGGTCATTTGCCATTTTGTTTGAATATATCCAGAGAATCAATCTAATATACACATATACGTATTTAATAAATGGAAAAGAAAGAACTGTACCTCAGAATGAAATCAAATTCTGAGCCTGCCAACATAAGTACACCAAGCAGAGTGGAAACAGCACCATCCATTACAGGGGCAAACATGTGCTCTAAAGCCACAGTGGAGCGCAGGTTCCGGCTGCCAATGGCGGTGAGAAACCCCTGAAAATAGATTAACAGTCAGAAACATACCTAAAAAGGATACCCTTCAGCCACTCTTAGAGACTACTAACTACATAGATGCTGATAGGATCTAATTGGCTGAATTACTGGAACAGTTCTTGTGCATAGAGCCAGCCAGGTACCATAGATGGGAGGGCAGAAAGCCTCACCTCGATATGACAGTTCTCGCTCTAGTTCTTTCAAAAGGAAAGTACCTTCTAATATAAAATAATCCACAAAGATAGCCAACTAGAAAGTCATGCATTATAAATTAGAGTAGATTACTTTCTATGCTAACCATCCATATTAATTAAAGAGTACAAGAGAGTACAAATCAGTGGTGGGTTTCAAAAATTTATACTACCACTTCTGTGGGTGTGACTTGGTGGGCATGGCATGGCTTGGTGGGCATGGCAGGGGAAGAATACTGTAAAATCTCCATTCCTTCCCCACTCCAGGGGAAGGTTACTGCAAAATCCCCATTTCCTCCCAATCAGCTGGGACTTGGGAGGCAGAGAATAGATGGGGGTGGGGCCAGTGGTGGTATTTACTGGTTCTCGGAACTACTCAAAATTTCTGCTACCGGTTCTCCAGAACTGGTCAGAACCTGCTAAAACCAACCTCTGGTACAAATCCATTCTAAACTATGAAACTAGTTCATTGGTCCTATTCTTTTCAGTCTGGATAAATAGTTTATTTTTTTAAAAAAAAGCATGTATCCACAAAGTTTAATGATATTAAAATACTTTAACTTGGTTACCCAATTAATGCATAACCTAACTAGCAGGTTAGCTTTGGTCAGCACACTAGCTACAACCAGCTTAAAAGCGTACTAAGCTTAAAGCTAATCAAGCTTACCGTGTTGTGTAATTGAGCCACTAGCATAGTTAAGCATGTTAGGTCATCACAAGCCATTAAGTCTTATAGCAACGCAAACGTTCTTATGGGGCATCTTACTTACCAGAGCTACATGTACAGTAAATTCCACGCCAATGCCTACAGAAGCAATTAGGATGACAACAGGGATTGCACTCAGTTTGATGCCCATCAAGCCCATGATGCCAAAAAGCTCAACTGTCATCATTGCCAAAACAAATACCTAGATATGAAAGAAATCACCCTGAGTACAGCATTTAAAACAAGCAAACCCAATGGGAAAACAGAATGCTTATGAACACAAAGCCACAATCTATGATGCATGAATAATGTTTCTTGCAGAAAATTTGGAGCTGCTAAAGGTTTAAACACATATTCGGAATATAGAAGGAATTGTCTATAGCAGCTATCTGTAGTCTAAAAAAGAAAATTAAATGTGTGCACCCTTGTGTTGTTTAGCTATTATGTTTTTAATATCCTTTATATAATAGATGCTCTTAATTACCAATATATGTTCCATATCGTTATGGATATTAATAAACCATAAATATTAAAGCCCCAAATGTAACTATTGTGATAATAGAGTAAGAAGCGTAAGAATAATGTGAGGAATTTTATGAGGAATAACCTCACAGAGTTGCTGTTGTGGGGAAAATAAGAGGCGGAAAGAATATTATATATATTGCTGCCTTGAGTTACTTATAAAGTAATAAAGGCAGGATAAAAATATAATCAATGCATCTAACAGGCTAGATAATGAGTACTTAAAATTCACTGTCAGCCATTAATCTTCCATAGATTATCAGATAACAGATTATCTGCTGAATTGTTAATATGATACAATGCAGTATTTTTTAAAAAATAACAATTACTTCTTAAGCAAGACAAAGCAAGAACATTAGTACAAGGCTGCAGCTAGACATCCATCTATAATAATGGTTGAGAAAAGTGCAGTGTGCAAATTTCTATTAAAGTGGATCAGCATATAACACATCAGTTGTAAATAAACTATATGTTAACTTAAACCTTTCAGAACTATAGAGAGAAAACTGATGATAGAATTAGATTTGCTTTTTGCTGCAAAGCTACAGGCTGATCCAAATTTTATATGGTAGCTGGTATAAAAGTATGTTTGCATGTATGTGTGTGTACAATGTGAACAACCAAAATAATTATTTATTTTGCAACCAAAAGAAATTATGCAAACTACATCAACATATTTTCAGAATTATTGGAAAAATTAAGTATGTGAAGAATTGTAATTGTTTAGAATAATATTTTGGGGAAAAAATTAAAGCATTTTAGAGTATTGTATAGATGAGAATAAAACAGAGGTTGAAGGGAAAGAGCAGTAGGGCATAGAAGGGAAATCATAGAAATAATAGAAGTCCTCTAATCTCAGGAAGCTTCACACAATTTAACCTAAATCTGTTTTTAACCTTGACCCAGGTCTTACGAGTGCTAGAAATGATACTGATTTTGCAAAGCCAATTTGACAACCATACACATATATGCTACAGCAGATAATGTTTGAATATGGCAATTCAACATCTCTGTTCTTCCCAAATAGTCATAAATGAAAATACTTACAATGATACTGGCAGTCCAAGGATTGAGTAGCAGCAGCGTGCACACCAGAAATGTGCAGGCCAGCACAATGCTGATGGCTTGCAGAAGCCAATGGCGCAGGCCAATGTACTGCTCCCAGAAGAGGAATGGATATCCGCTGGGGTAGCTAAATACTCCATGTGTCTGGGCCACCTCATCACAGATGGCACGCACACTCTGGATAGCTGCCACGAAGTCTGATGTGTGTTGAAGGCCATTGAGGTAGAAGGGGAACTGAGCAAACTCCAGAGGCTGTGCAGCTGGGACTAGAGGAAGCAAAGGCAGCCATTAGGAAAAGTGACCTCCTGGCCCCCTCTTGTTTCTAGGCCCCAAGATTAATTATCCCCCTTTGCCCAACGCCCACCAAATTATGAAGTTAGGCAGATGATTCCATTTATGCAGCTTTATGGTATGACAGAATGGGACTTGGGTTGAAACACTGAAATGTGGTACAAAGCTGAATGGAAATGGAACTTTCTTAAATACTCACTTCGAAGATTTTCACCGGTAGCATCATATTTATCATGGATCCATTCCGGGGGTGGCGGATAGAAGTTGGCCTGGGAAGCAGCAAAACCAAGGGGGTCATTGCTCACCCACACTGTCAAGCAGATGTAAAATATATCAGGGGGAATGATCCCATTTTCATCAACCAGACGGCGAGTTGTCAACTGTGGGGCAGATGGAAAAATGAGGGAATTGAGCAGGATAAAATTAAAAGCTCCAATAGAATGCAGATCTTTCGTGTCCCTTCAAATCTTTATTTTCAAGAAACACCCTTCACATAACTGCCAGCAGGAAACACTCCTTTCCCTATATATATATATGTTGCAGAAATTCTCTTCTTGCGGTTACTATATTATTCATTCTTATGGTTCATCTATCCACTTTCTTCTCTCTACCAACTTACTGAGTTAGTCTTAATGCTTACTTGATTTAAGTTGAAAGGCTCTTTCTTGTTGCCCGTCTGGATAAGGAGTTTATAAGCAAGAACTCCATCTTCCGAACCATTCCGATAATTTTCCCTGGTGATGTGCCCGGCTTCCCAGTCTTGATCAAAGGCTGCCTGTAGATCTGGCATTCAGAGAGTGTAAAATTAAATGAGAGCTCTACAAGAGATCTGTCCATATTTAGCACCTCCCCTCTTTGTACCATTGCTCTTATGCTTTATCACAATAATTTCGGCCAGGTTGCATAGGAAAGGATTTACACAGTGAAGAGAAACTGACTTTGAACTCTTATACACACGGTATTTAATACAGTTAAGCAATATAGGAATATATGATTATTACCCAACAATAATTACTGACAAATAAGAACAATACAATATGACTAATATCTGCATCCACAGATGTTTTAACAGTGGGAGAAAGAAGAAGGAAGACACTATTTTTCTAGCTTTCAAGAAAATTATTTATTTATTTATTTATTTTTATTTTGATTTATATGCCGCCCTTCTCTGGAGACTCAGGGCGGCTTACAGTGCGTTAAGCAATAGCCTTCATACTTTTGTATATTTTATACAAAGTCAGCTTATTGCCCCCACAAACTGGGTCCTCAATTTACCTACCTTAGAAAGGATGGAAGGCTGAGTCAACCTTTAGCCTGGCAAGATTCGAACTTACTTTAATTGCAGACAGCTGGTGTTAAATTACAGTGCCTTGTCTGCAGAGCTATCCAGGCTCCTAAAATATTCCAGCATGTATTCCTTAGGCTCCAGTTTCTGCATACAACAATACTAACATTAACTTATAAGAACACAGTTTCAGTTCTAGAGGGTAGGAAATACTCTGTGATTGTGTATGCCCTATGTGGGTAGCAGGACATGCATACACTTCTGTGTACAAATAAACACTGCCAACCTACGTTTACCTCTGTGCAAAATACAAACAACCAATTCCTATATGAAACACAGCTTTGATGGAAATGCTGTTGGGGTTAAAATGTCTACAGAAAGATCTGTTAGGGTTTCTGGTAGCCTAGAATACATCTTATCCTGAGTGCAGTTATGAATAGAGATTTGAACTTTTCTTCCCTGGATACATCTTGTTAAACAAAGTACAAAATCCTGGTTGCCCCTGAAATACCAGTAGGTTTATACTCAAAGCACCCTGCAACGAGAACTGGGAAACTTCCCTTTTGACACCTTTAGAGACAGAGATTGCAATCTAAGAAAAGAGAACTGCTAAAGAGAGATTAATTCACCTTGTAGCCAATCTCGGAAGTAGTGCAGCCACATCTTTGGCAACTGGCGGTTCTCCTCACGTACTACATACTGGATGGCAGCAAAGGCCTGATGCAGGCTGTAAAGAGCTTCCTGTGAGCTTGGGTAGTCAAAGCCTCCATTCGTTACCACAAACATATTGTAAAAGGAGAAATACTTGAACTGAGCTGAAATGAAGGCATGCTCCTTTGTACCTCGTGGTACAATATCCGTCAGATACAGTCCATCATGTACCTTGGTTGTACCATAGAGGCTGAGGCCCAGCAGGGCTAGGAATAGAGCTACCACAATTCCCTGAAAAAGTAGAGGGGAAAAGTGTCAAGATGGGTGTCAACAAACAGTATCCCCTTTGCATAGTCCAGTTTTTTCTCTTTTGTTTATCATAAGATTTGGCCCGTTTGGTTTTCTGGAAATTTTATATCCAGGGTTGGATGATAGGCCAAATGATGTTACTGGAAGCCTTGCCCCAGGTGCAATCAGTTATCAATGCAGGAGGAAGCAGACAGACAAGTTTTTGCATCTTATGCTGCCTAAAGGCAATCTATGGATGATAAAATGGAGGAAGCCATTGCTCCCCAGTTCATTCAATTCCAAGTACTTTTTCTATGTATGAGATGAAATAAAGTCATTGTAGCATCTCCTTCAGTACAGAGAATGGCTGTGGATGCGCCAGATGAAACATCTGGAATGTGCTTCTTACGTCTTGAATTATCTTTTTTTTAATGTTCCAGGAAGGGAGCTAGAAGAGCCTGCAGGTTGGCTATTCTTAATCCCCTGGTGGGAGATCCTGATGCCTCAATGAGTGGTGCAAATTGCCCTTCAAACCTAGCCATTTTATCTTAATTTACTCAGTTCCCATTTTGAACTGACTAGATGCACAAAGGACCCATATCTGCTATGATAAATATTTCCCTCTTGTGGGCTGACTTGGCAAGGCACAACTAACTCAGAGTTTGTTAGAAACGCACAGTGAATACATTGTTTGCAAAGGAACACAACTCTCATTTCCAGTTGGTTGAGATAGTCAGGGAAATTTAGTTTCCAACTGGCTTTACTCCTCGAATCGCAAATTTGTGTCCAGGATAATAGCATTTTTTTTCCTACACAGATCAAGATGCTCCCTTCCCCCCTACCCCCAAAAAACCCTCTTGAGAATGACTCTGTGCTGCCTACCTTAGTTTGGCTCTGCAGCAGGATGGGTGCGTATCTGTCACGAGCAAAGCTGGAAAGGTTCCATCGACATATCGGCAAGGGCACACATTCTTGGGCTCCTTTGCTTTCATCTAGCTGTGCCAGAAGATCCCGAGTGGAACTGGCAGGAGTGAAGATTTGTGAGCCCAGAGGATTGGCAGGAAGGAGAGTGGAGGGAGTGGTAAACACATGCTGTGTGGGTGGTAAAATAGTGACTACATGTCTCCCAGAGGAGTCACACTGAGTGAAGGCCTGCACAGTGGTAGTGATGTGTGTGCTGGTCGCCAGGGCTGGATGGCCATGGGGATAAGTGGGTGCGGTGTGGTTGTCATTCACATCAGCATATTCTTGTGGTTGGATCTGGATGACTCGGGCAGAACAGAGGCTGTGGGGGGAAGAAATCATTGAAAGCTGTTACAGAAAAGACAGGTACACAATTCTAGATTTTCATGGTGTAAAGATACATTTCCTAGTTATGACCAGACACGATTTTCAGACTCCAGAATGAAGAGGAAGGGCAGCACTCTCCCAACAGTTTTAGATCCTGCATGTCAATTTTTAAACCTTTGTTGTTAAGATATACATTTTTGACAGGAATAAAATTAATATATGGCTTTTGGTGGCTTTGACACTTTTCTGAGACCTGAATTTGATTTTCTTTGCTGTATCTAAGTGCTTTTTCAAATTATTCTCCTTTCTTAGAAGCCCGGTTTGTCAGAAAAAGTGTTAAGATTACTCAGAAAGATACTTGTCTTCACCCCACTCCTAAGACAGTACCTGTAGAAGCAGCAGAGAATATCAAGCCTCTTGCTTTCACGCCTGTGAAGATCCAGACTCAGAATGGCAGGAAAAATGAACAGCACCATGGCAAAGTTAAAAACAACCACTACTGCAGCCTGCAATAAACAAGCAGATTTTTCTTTTAAAAAAGCAAAGTTCTCATTGAAGATTCCAAGATCTTGATAATGGAATCTTTTATAAATATGACAATTGATTCTTCTACCACTAGTTGCCTTTAAGTGAATGGATCATTCTGCTTTCTAGAAGAGGCCAGAGATGCTAAGGGACAGCTGCACATGACTTTATGCATCTCATTTGCTCTTCTGTATAAGAGTTTTCTTCACAAATAGGCAGTCTGAGGGCCACACTATGAAATAGAAGGAGATAGTCTACTCTCCACTGTAGTTCCATTCATAGCATCTAGATGCAGAATAAAGATTTGGCTCTTACGTAAAAGCAGGGAAAAGCAGTAGGGGATTTCACTTGTAGGTGACTTCTAAGGTCCTTTTCAACTTTAGGATACTATGATTCTATAAGCATATTGTATGAAAGCTGTTAGCAGAGGAGCTTACCTGTAGAGAGAAGGCACGCAATGCAGGGATAGGCACAAGGGCAGCCATGAAGAAGGCAATCATGTTATTGACAGATGTGAGTGCCACACTGGTGCCACTACGACGTAGGCATTCACCAGTTCGTTCCTGGGTAAGAAATGTAAAAATGAGCAACACAAACTCAGAATGGATGGACAATAAAGCCTGAGGGTACAACTGGCAGTCCACAGGATCTCAAAATCTAGACAGATATACTCACCTTGACAGGGACATGCTGACTAGTCTCTGTGAAGGCATGTGCTAGCAAGAACATGTCATCCACGCCAATGCCAAGGGCCAGGAAGGGCAGCACCTGTACAGGTCAGGATGGAAGTGTAACAAAAGGAACATGATCAGAACCTATCCAACTTTTGCAAAATTAGACATAGATCTTAGTCTATGCAGTAAAGGGAATGGCTTGAAGTAGACATTGGGAATCTTGATAAATGCTTAGTTGAGCTTTTGGTCTTAGGAATTAAAAGATGCTAATATTTTCTGTCCTTGCCTTAAACATTAGAATAGAGGTTTCATAGGCATATTTCTAAATGGGATGTAAAAGATCTGACCATAATCAAAGCCCTAGCTCTACATTTCCTCATACACCTCTAATGTGAAAGTAGTAGCCAAAAGGATATAGACTTTTGAGAGCTGAAAGCAATACGGGAATAATTCTGGAGCCCCAAGAGTAACCCCAAGTTTGAAATACTCTCTACAACTCAACATATTCATAATGCCATGGCTAGGATAATGGGCTAAATCCAACTGAATGTTTAATGTTGAAAAATCTTAACAGGCTGAATAGCAATAGCACTGAGACTTATATACTGCTTCATAGTGCTTTACAGCCTTCTCTAAGTGGTTTACAAAGTCAGCACATTGCCCCCAACAATCTGGGTCCTCATTTTACCAACCACAGAAGGATGGAAGGCCGAGTCAACCTTAAGCCAGTATAACTAATGTTGCAGAATAGGAAGGAAAGAAACAATGTAGAATGAAAGGTCACAGGAAATCTGGACCTCTCAAATGGGGGTAGTGTACCTGAGTGGTGGCTGCATTGAATGAAATTCCAAGCAAGGAGCAAAGTCCAAGTCCTGCTGCTACTGAAAGGGCAACTAGGAGAACCCCAGCCAGGCCCACAGCACCCTGAGATTTGGAGCAGTCCCACCGCAGCAGGGTGACGCAAGCATACGCTAGCTGCAAGGAGATGAAAACGGAAATCATAAGGGTAAGAGTAGGAATGAGAAAAGTATTCATTGTCCATAATTATAGTGAAACAAATAAGGAGGGAAAGATGGAAAGAAGCTGCTACGCACCATTAGCAGGTAACCACCAGCCACACGGATGGCACTCACATCTGAAAAGGACTTCATGATATCGCTGAGTGTGGTGGTAGAGAAGGCATGAATAGTCTGTGAATAATTTGAAGGCAGAGATTCCTGGGCCACCTGGAAAGAGACAAAATTGGTAAGAGAGTGCAAGAAAAACATCTAAGAAAACATTTGTACGGTTTTGCCGACATTCGTATAATAAAACAATCTTTCTCACAGATATGCCCAGCATGCTCCTAGGGAAAGCATATGCTCACAAACAACCTATTGCTCAATTAACTAATCGTCTTGCACAAAAACTGAAGCATTTCCAGAAAAAAAAAATCTGCCTCAATCATCCTCTTACTTGGCATGCCAATTATGTCCATCCTAGAATCCATTCAAGTACAATAAATCTCTTGCCAATACTTTTTGTACGGTCCCTATTTGGCAGAGCATTTTGTATCACTAGATAAAAGTGATCACTAGACATCATGATACGATGTCAAAGAGATTTTTAAGCATGGTTCAGCTTGTATGTTGCCACACATATCATATATTCAAATCTTAGCCTGGGCAATAATTTGTGTTTTTTTTTCTTGTTAAAGAAAGAAGTCTGCTTAGCAGTATTTACAAGCAGTCATGCCAAGCAGTCAGAAATAATTTATGTTTATAAGCAAATATTGAACATAGCTTTGCACGATATATAATCCCCCCTCACTGACACACATTTGTGCCTCGTTCTGCATGCCGCTTTTCAACTCTCATTCCATACTTGCATCAAGCAGCCCACATCGAGTAGCACATCAGTGCCACTGCCAGAAATAGCCCTATTGGCACCTCACCTCAACGAATTCCCGCTGCCAAGCCTCCAGCACAGCGGCAGCCTTCTCCTCGCTCCAGCTGATATCATGTATCTCGTAGTCATCCCGGTAGTGCTCATAAAGTTGTCGTGGGCTCATCAGCAGGAACATGCTTTGCAGGGCTTCAGCTCTGGAGAAAGAGAAGCGGGCTTAGAGACCCCCTTCTTCTGCCCAAACTCTGCAGCCAAAGCATTCTACCCAGTCTGAGGTAGAAAACAGCTCTTTCAGAAGTTTATTTTCAGCATTTCCTTCAGCCCAAGCAAACACTCCATATACACATTCTAAACTTAATGCAAAATGAATGATGCTGTAATGTCCTCCAGGTTTCATTGGAAACAGGTTGGCTACTGCTCCAAGAAAACCCATCCAAAAACACAAACTTTCTTCATGTACTGAAAGAGACATGAATGTTTACTTTCTAGAATATCTTGTACTTCCATCTAAACCTTTGAAAAGAAGTGAGCACGCTTTATACTTCTTAGTTGCTTTGTTGCATTTATTATTTTTAAAATGAAAGCAGCTATTTCTCTTCTCATCCGCAATCTTTATCTTTCACCATTTGTCTACCGCCCTTTTACCTTGCCAGACATGAAAGAGTTCCGGGACAGAGGCATCCATAATAATTTCTTTTTACATGCAGAATGTATGAGAAAATTCAGTAATGATTCTGATCGCACCAGGATGTGGAATGTGGCCTTCTATACTTAAGTAGGAGTAATCTGGCCAATAAATGGCTATGGACCCAGCATTGTACAAAGGATGACAAAGAGATTGGAAGAGGACCAAATTTCCAAAGTGATCTTGGTACGGGAAACAATTTTGAAGGTCAGATTCTGTTGAGAAGCTCATATTTGCCTATATTTGAGCTCCCTCTAGAATCTGCCGTTCAGATTAGTAAAAACAGGTGGTTAGTTTTAAGATAGCATCCACATTAAGTGGAAGGGGTTGGGGTGAGCAGTAGCTTCAGGAAGGAAGGGATAACAGCAGCCCAGGCTTCAGGGATCAACATAAATCCCATGGCTGAGAAATGCTTGCCAGTTGTTCCCAGGGTCAGGCCATAGACATGCACCCATCACTCACAGAAATTGAAGCCTCAGAAGCATCAAGTTACATGCTGGCTCAGGGGCCAATATAGCACCATTCCAAAGTGTAGAGGAAGAAGAGTGAAGTCCACTCATTTCCCAGCGGCATGTCCTTCTTTTTGAGTTGAACAACAAATGTACTGGATGGCACTGACCATCATCTTTAATTTTCCTCTGTGCAAAGGGAAGTCACCTGATCTGCAGGCACTCTCTCTTAGTTGCCACGTTTATTCCAAAACAGAAACCTTTTCCTAATATACAGAGGGACTCACAATCCAACTTACTTTTGCAGTTTTCCTTGAGGATCTTTTACTGTGCCCCCCAAGATGAGTTCCTCTTGCCAATGCATGTATTTCCGGGAGAAGCCATGGCAGCCACCTGTGAGTTCAGAAGGGATGTGTGGTTTCTGGCAGGAGCAAAAAGAAGAGAACGCAAAGTGAGTATGCTATCAAAAAGTTTTCCATAGTAAGCAACAACTCTCTCTTCTAGCTCTTGAAAGCTGAGAAACTACAATCATTGAATCCCCCAGGAACCCTGTTTTGCTTAAGCCTGATTATTTACTACAAATGTGCACAAACTGGTTAACTATGGCAAACAAGGGTAAATGTTGCTCTTTGGCAAATGTCAGATCCAAAATAAACCAAAAAATTATGAAAGGCAACAAAACCTAAAAGAAAAATATCAAGCTGGGTTTTTAAGAGAGCAAAAGTGTTGTAGTTTTATATATTAAGTACTAATTTATTTCCTAACAAGAAATTAGGCTAATTAGCTTACTTAACAAGGCAAATTAGACTGAAAGTCTAGGGCTATCTGTTCCAGTGTTATTCCATGAGCCTTTTGGATGAGTGAGGATTTGAACCTGTTTGCCAAAAAGACCTTCTAAAACCACACTGTTCATACTTTAATGTATTTCTATCTATTCCATCTGCTTGGAGGTTTTCCATACATCAGCTATGAAAACAACAGAGCACCTGATTGGCCGAACAAACAAATCCAAGTAAATGAGCATAGATGGATTATATCTATCAAAATAAAGAAATATAAAAAGTTCCAATGATCAACATGAATCATTCTACTCCACAGAAGCATTCTAGTTTTCTATGGCTGTGAAAACTGAGCAAACACATGCCGATTGTATTTGGTCAGGAATCATTCTAAATATAAAATCCTCTTTCTCTCTGTGTTTGTGCACGCATACACACAGCCACAGATGCTTGACCACTGGCACTTTGGGGATTTCTTTCAGACCTAAAGGCATATCTTTCCTTTTTTTCTGTGGTGGAAAAAAAGGGAAACTGGATAGCCATAATGATAACAGTCTTCAAGCCAGGAAATGTGGAATTATGGCTGCAATCCCACCCTCCCACTCCCTCAGCCGGTCCTCCATCACATGGCTCCCAGTCTCTGTGTGCACGTCTGTGTCCACAGGCTGCTCCCTCCTCCTCTGTTTTCCAAACGCTGCCATGCTGCCATCTGTTCTCGGACACATTCCAACCCTGACCACCTGCTGGTCAGCACTTGCACTACGTCTGCCTGAATCAGCACTATCAGTCCAGCCTGAGCCTCCTTGGCACAGGGCCATGCATTCCGCTTCTTTTATTTGGCCTCCCCATACCCTGAATAAGAAGGGCAAAGCTAATGAAATGGGGGACCCCACAGTTAGTTGAGTCTGTTTGGCCACACATAGCCTGAAAACATGTCTCTGGCCTTCAAGAAACTACCATATGGTTTCATACGAACATATATACATATGACGACGAAGTTTGTAAGTTCGTCTCCTTGACTCTCTCCTCCACTCAACCAAGAGAATCATCTTTCCTTAAAGCCAATCCCTTTCATTTTCACACATTTAACTTAGTGTGTACTTGCAGTCATCTTGTACCAAATAGCTATGAATGAAAGAAAAATAACCCCAAACTTTTATTTGGATAATTTATTTTAATCAGTTTTTTTTTAATTTGATTTATATGCCGCCCTTCTCCGGAGACTCAGGGCGGCTTACAGTGCGTTAAGCAATAGCCTTCATACTTTTGTATATTTATACAAAGTCAGCTTATTGCCCCCACAAACTGGGTCCTCAATTTACCTACCTTAGAAAGGATGGAAGGCTGAGTCAACCTTGAGCCTGGCGAGATTCAATCTTACTTTAATTGCAGACAGCTGGTGTTAAATTACAGTGCTTCTGTCTGTTGAGCTAAACCAGGCTCATTGATTGTTGATTATTCTTACTCATTTTTCCTTTATTTAGCAAAAGAGTGCCAATTTTCAACTTCTTGCTACTGATTTATAGGAGCCTAAATTCTAAATTTCTAAATTCTTTGCACTGATGGTAACTTTTGCATCCTTTCCATAAAATATTCTATATTCTTTTTCAGTATGGTCTGTAATATTATAATGATGTACCCTTTATTTTCTTTTTTTTTAAATTACTAACTGGATCATTATAGAAATTCAGCATTGTTAATATCTTGCTGTATCTTGTCAAATACAGTCATATTGGAAAATAAGCAAAATATTACTTGGAACAGTAAACTATTTGCTGAAATCACAATAAAAATAATGGCAATGGCTTTCCAAGATTAGCTGCATGTATAAGAATATTAGGACTATGGGGAAGTCAGATTTAAAAAGAGATAATAGAAGCTGATTATTGCGCATTATAACATTGGCTTATCTAGCCCAATTTGATACAATTCTGGATTCTGTACTGAATGCTTTTGGCATAGTCTTGCACTTAATATGCAATGCTAAATATCAGAAAATGATAATATTACAAAAGAAACAAAAAATTAAAGATTTATAATAAAAATTATTACTGAAATTGGAGAAACAGAGAATAAAAATCAGTATTTGATAAATGCTTAAAAATTATCTTTATATATTGTCAAAATACAAGGATGTTAGCCTGGTTGAATATAAGCGTCACTTTTAAAACAGATTTCCCCATAGTAACTATCCTCTCAACCGCAGCTTCTCATGAGCAAAATCAATTTAGATTGGGGAAAACAACATAGGAAAATGGTTTAAATAGACGAACAATCAAGAAGTAAGCAATACAGAGGTGGATTTCAGCAGGTTCTGACCAGTTCTGGAGAACCGGTAGCGGAAATTTGAGTAGTTCAGAGAACTGGTAGTAAAAATTCTGACTGGCCCCGCCTCCATCTATTCTCTGCCTCCCAAATCCCAGCTGATAGGGAGGAAATGGGGATTTTGCAGTAACCTTCCCCTGGATTGGGGAGGGAATGGAAATTTTACAGTATCCTTTCCCTGGAGTGGGGTAGGAATGGAGATTTTACAGTATCTTTCCCCTGCCACGCCCACCAAGCTATGCCACGCCCACCAAGCCACACCTGCAGAACTGGTAGTAAAAATTTTTGAAACCCACCACTGAAGCAGTACCCCACTCAAAGAACTGCCATACAAGCTAACAGTAAACAGCTCAACAGAAGAACCTCCAAGATTTACTTCCACCAACACTGACAGGGCAAGCACTAGAATATAAATGGAGAGCAAACTCTACTCTTTACTACCACTGATGATGTTACCTAGTTTGGGTAACGAAACAACTGCAAGAAAACAACCAATCTCAGAGAGCATCAAGAATCCCCCACTTCAATCCTGAGCAACAAATATTCTCCTTTAATGGATTAAATATCCCTCTGCCAAAGCCCAACTCCCGCTCCTCTTTCAGCAAATTACTTTAAACTTAAACTTTGAAAAAAAAATCAGGTTGGCTCTTATTCTCATAAATGCACCGTAAATTGGGGTAAACTCACCTTCTGGCTTTGGCTGTTGGGAGCACTAGGAGGACACTCAGGGTCAAAAGGATCAAGGCAAGGCCGCTCCATATAGGCCTGGCCAACCTCTGCCTTATCCAACATCTCCTTGAATCCTTCCAGTGAGGCAAATTGACCCAGTTCCTCCATCAATTGAATAGGATCTAAGTTAGTCCACTGAATATCCCGCCGGCCCCTGTAGAGACAAAATACTGTAGATTAATAGAATTCAAAATATCAATTGGTCCTACATACTGATATCGCTTAAAGTGGTGATATCTCTTATACGCATGCCCACCTTTTAAATCCCTCCAACTCTCAAAGCCACATCCACTCTGGCTGGTTCTGGACACCCAAAAAGAGGTGCTTAAAGGTGTACAATAATGAATAATTTCTCCTGCTCATGTGGGAGAATTCTATTTTAGGAATCTGAAAGTTTTTAGAACTGAAAAAAAGAGTTTTGAAAAATAGAAAAACAATAAATGTCCACTGAGGATGTGTGTGATCAAGACCTGGAGTACTAATTAACTGTTGGGATTAAAAAATACCCAGAACTGGGAATGGGACTAAAAATAGAGTGGAGTTATTAGAATTTTGAATGAGAAGCATTTCACACTACAACCTTGTGCTGGAAATCTTTTTGCATTCCTTCTATTTATCCTTTTCTTGCGGTGAAAAAGTCATAAAAATGTTACAGGGTTAAACTTTAAGTAGCTCTTTGCCTTTATTGCCTCTAACTCCCTTATAAGAGTTGCTACTGATTTTATTCCAAAATTGCTGATCTTAATTGCATGGTTGGATTTTAAGGAACATTTTTAATCCTTTGTCATAAAGGAAAAATGCATTTTAAAATCCAATTATTGGAGTGTTTTGGTTTGTATTTTTTTTTTGTGTGTGTGTGTGTGCAAAAACAGCAGCAGCAGCAGTCCACTAGGCCAGCTATTATTCCAAAGAGAGTTCAGCTAAGAGGAAGCTGTAGAGGAGAACATAATTGCCTTGACTGGCTGCAAAAGACTTATTTAGGGATAGGAGGGATTTGTGCAGGGTTTGAACAGGCCTTCATTCCCTTTGTCCCCATACGTTAACAGGATCAGGCATGCTGCTTTCCTTTTGCATGTGGCTTGGAGAGCCAGTTCTGAAGTACTGTATTTTTCGGACTATAAGACGCTCCAGACTATAAGACACACCTAGCTTTTGGAGAAGAAAACAAGGGGAAAAAAATCTGCCTCTGCCTCCCAGCAATTTGCCTCCTTGCAGCAAACAGCAAATAACCTGGTCAGCTTCAGCACAGCCTGATTTAGCACGAGCAGCTGATTGGGGGTTGGATCGGCCTCCTGGAATACTGATGATCAGCTGTTCCAGGCTGCGGGGATTGGCACCGCCTATTGCCGCCGAACGGGACACGTGAAAAATGGGATGCATGGAGGTAAAAAATGGGGCGTGCGCGGAGGCCGAAAATGGGGCATGCAGAGGCCAAAAATGGGACGCACAGTGGTGGTGATGGGCGGCGGCAGCAAGGGAGGCAGAGGCCAAAGGGTGGGGGCCGTCACGTGGAAGGGGCTTTGGCAATATTCGGTCTATAAGAAGCACAGACATTTCCATCCACTTTTTTTGGGGGGGGGGGAAGTGTGTCTTATAGTTCGAAAATATGATAATTGGACAGTGCCTCCCTGGCAGGACCAGAAAATGTAGTTATGCACAAGGACGAGAACATGAACCAATTACGCTTATTTGAAAGGAAAGAGAGAAATTTTCAACAGGAATGGAGAAGAAAGAGAAGAATTCTGCATAGAAGAAATGTTGTATATGTTCATCAAATGTATCTGTATATGGAAACTGCAGTAAGTATGGATAACCATACATTGGCCTCTATACACCCAGCATAATTATCCATATTTTTAGCAGTGGGGGCACCAGCAGACATAAACAGAACTGTTTGTTCCCTTCTACATCAGAATTCAAACAAATACTGACGGTATGTGATCTGAATGGGTCCCTGATCTTGTCTAGGCCAAGATGGAAGATGTTATCTACACAATTCTGCTGATGTACTGATTATTCTAGTGGAACCTTCCATAAATTGGTGTCCTGGATAATAGCTTCTGGAATTTATCAAATAATAATTGTTGGATAGAAAAAGAGAGTTGAAGTCCCACTACATCTAAACAGCACCAGGTTAGGAAGGCTGCCCCATTCATCACTAGTACCCTTATCCACTCCTGTCCTATTTCTGCTATGGGGCAACAGCTAAATCTATTGAAAAGCAACGAGAGGTGGTACAGCAACAACAACCCTTTTTGAATGATTTTTTTTTAAAGTATAATTTTTTTCCGTACATCTCTTTCCCAGTAGAAGTAGTCCTGCACACAAAGCTTGGAAACAAATAGCTATTGGATTTCTGAGTCTGTAATAGTGTAATGGTATGTGGGAATGACCTTGGCAGACTGGGCCAAGAAATACTGCCTAGGAAACAATCAGATCAGATAAGAGGCAGCACAGTCTGCAGCTGGCTAGTGCGTGGGACAAGAATATCAGAACACCCTCTCTAATTTCTTGGGGTGTAAAGGGGAGGGGGAAATTGTACTTTCAGACTTGCAAGATTCTGAAATCTTGCCACACACACACACACACATTTGTATATATAAAAACATATACAGGTGGTCCTTAACTTATGACAACTGAGCCCAAAATTTCTGTTGCTGAGTGAGTTTTGCCCCATTTTACGACTTTTCTTGCCACAGTCATTAAGTGCATCACTGCAGTTGTTCATTTACTAACATGGTTGTTAAGTGAATCTGGATTCGCCATTGACTTTGCTTGCCAGAAGGTCACAAAAGGGGATCGCATGACCCCGGGACATGGCAACCGTCATAAATATGACTCACTTGCCAAGCACCTGAATTTTGATCAAGTGACCATGGAGATGTTGTAACAGTTGTAAGTGTGAAAAATGGTCATAATTCACTTTTTCTCAGTGCTGTTGTAACTTGAACAGTCACTAAATGAATTGCTATGAGTCAAGGACTACCTGTATATATTTTAACATTTTGGCACTGTAATATCAAAATATGTTCCTATTTAATAGCTGCCCAGCTGAAAGATGTTAGAGTTCATTTCTTTCTCATGCAAAGCTGGGAGCTTCATGTACGTTAACCTTCCACAATGTGGTGTCTGCCAGATGAATTGTGACTGCAGTTTTCAGAATGCTTAATCAGTGTGGCGTATCTGAAAGACTCCAGGTCAGGAAAGGTTGATGCAGATTCGCCCGGCCAGATTGTCTTGTCTGCTAGCCAACTTCTGCAAAAAAGTCAGTTCTTCTCCCTTCTGTTAGTTTGTTCAAAACAAACATAATCTCTCTTCAGAGCCTCCTAAAAAAGTGATTTTCTCTCCCTAATGAATTCTTTAGTGTTTTCCCTGCTTAAGGTTATTATGTAACTATATCATTTAACTTTGAGAATCAAAAGGAAAAGTGACAATAATATTAATAAACATTGATTATTAATAAATGTTTAATAAAACAGATCGGTGTTTTCTCAGATCTTCAACAAGAATAATGAAGAACATCTTGAATTATTTTTTAATAGTAATTGATAAATACTAAACTCAAAGATGGGAAAATGAGGAAAACTCAGGCAGAGTAAATCTTGTCATGGTTTTGGCAGAATCACCCTCCAATCACTCATGAAATCTCAGATCCCAAGAAGTTTCCTCCTTGCTTGATTCCCACATTCCAAACAGCCCAGCTCCAGCTCCTAAAGAGAGCTTCTTTTATCTGCTGTTTCTTGCTTCACTGAGCCAAGTCCAGCCCTTTTGTTTTTCCATAGATTGCTGCCTTTTGTTCTCCGAATTTTCACTCCCTTTGCGTTAAAAGGAGAGGGGGGGGGAAGACAGAGAGAGCCCCTCAACTGAACTGAAGCGGAAGCTGGAGCAAAAGCTCCCCCATTTCAGACATTCAGAAGAAAAACTTTTGGGTATGTGTGTATGTGTGCGTGTATAAAATATTTAAAGAGTAAGAAGTAGGATATAAGAAAGGTAAACTTGGAAACCAAAAGACAGGTGCAAAAACAAGGGAGCAAAGGTCCTATCCATTGTAGTGACCGAAAAGAACTAAACAGCCTGGTCAATTGTCCTTGTTGTACCAGAAGTGTAATACTTATAAAAATCTATTTTTTGTTAAACAAAAAAGGAAAGTTAAGGATATTGTAATCAGGTGGTTCCTCAAAATCCGAAGCATGGTAACCAGTTTGAAAGAAATCCTGTTACATTCCTAGGGGTGAAGAATAAATCTCGTCTTGTTGACCCAAAAGAGCCAGTAATCATGTCATCTACATCCAGTGCAATGAAATCAGGTCCTGTTCTGCTTACCTTGGATTTGTGCTGCTACTGAGTTCAAGGGGAAAGCCTTGTACCTCCCCATAAGCCTTCTGGCAGTTGGATGCTGTAATCCCTCCCTCTTTCTGTTTTTGTTTTAGAAATCTGTTTTCTCCTCCTTTACTCACTCTCACTGTCCTCTTCCACTCAGCAGCAGACTGAATAAAGCTACTATTCCATTTGTTGGGCAACTTGGAGCTTTCAAAGTGTCATTAGCATGAGAATATGTGGTGTTGCCATTTGCTGACAAAGCATAAGTCTCTAGGGCCCCTTACAGACAAACACACTTGTAAACAGAAAGAATGCCGGTAATTGTCCCTGGCCCTCCCTCCCTCCCTCCCCCTCCCCTCCCCTCCCCTCTAGAGGGCTGGTCTCCACAACTTCACTTTCCCCCTCCTTCATCTCCCATTTTGTACACCTTAATAGAAACATAATTACAAGGCAGCAGAAGTAATAAAACAAAGCAACTGAGCCCAGAAAATTTGGGGAGGGGACTGATGACAGCAAGTGGTAAACCCAGCCCCCTTTGATTTGGAATGGGAACAGAGAGCAGACCTTGGGACCTTAGTCATGCTCTCAAAATATTTGACATAATATTTCTATGGTGTCATCCACTGATTGCTATCCTCCTGCATTGAAAGCAGGTGAAAAAGGCAAGTTATATTTCCCTTTCATGTTTTGTTTCATACAAAAAGAAGTTAACTAGAAGAGAGCTCTTCCCCTATCCAAAGTAATATTACAAAACATTTCTGCCCATGCCCTTGGTGTCGCATCATTCTTCAAGAGAGAGGATACTAAAAAGCTTTACTCCTGATATATCTGCCCTGAGATCACTCAGAATGACCACTGCTTCCTTATATAAGCAGTGATCTTGAATACATTCTGTCATGTGGGTATCTAAATATCTTGAAGGCACCAGATGCAAAGGGGGCCTTATCTAAAGTTGTCAAGCAAGCCAAGGAAGAAAACGATTATCAGACAAGAATCTTATGATTATCTGTGTAGGAAATCAGTAAAGGACAAAATGTTTTCAAAGGAAAATTTTAAAAAGATCCCCTTTCCAATATCATCAGCTAGATTCTGCTCTACAGTCTGCCCAAACTAATCCAGCCTTTCCCCCCAGTGGTGGGTTCCCCCGGTTTGGAACAGTTCGCAAGAACCGGTAGTAAAACCGGCAGGAGGCCCCGCCTACTGCCCCAGATGTCGTCATTGGCTATCTGCGCATGCAGATCTTGCTTCGCTCGCGCATGCGCGCAATCCCATTCCGAACCAGTAGTAAAGGTAAGTAAAATCCACCCCTGCTTTCCCCTAAGGTGTCCAGAATAATTGAGTTTGAATGTTGTGCCTGAACAGCACACTTAATTTAAGAGCAAATCTTTGCAATGCTCTCTTTATGTGTCTGTGAAAGCTCCCAATATCCTAGCCTCCAAATTTTAGCCTATGGCCATTCTTTATCGTAAATATTCAATGAACCCTTCCCTTTTTAAATTAGTGATCTTAGATCAGGTATGCTGTCCATCCTTATTGGGCATTACTTAGCAAATAGAATCCTGTAATACAGTAAACTAAGAACAGAAAATTCTATATTTAAATTTGTACTATTCATGAACCACCAGGGAAATCTCCATTTCCTAATTAATTTTCAGTAATATATCCTTTAATATTACAGTACAGACAGTAACAGCTCACTGTTTAGAGGAGGAAGATAACAAGAAAGGGAGGAGACTAAGGGAAGTGGGTATAACAGAAAAATGGTATGCAGATAGCCAGCACCCTCACTAATCTTCACAATGACAATGTGGAAGTAGATTGCATGGCAATTTCCTCTATGAAACTCTGATCATATAAGTTGGTTATCATCATTATTGTGATTATGTTAGGTAAATGCTTTAAGTGTTTAAGGAAAATGTTTCATAATACCGTGTTATAAATAATATCAGCAACAACCCTCTCCTTCTTTTTCCTTTACAGAAACTAGGTTTTCCCAAACTTCTTAGCCTTGTCAATTAAGATTGAAGAGTTGGCTTCATATTTTAGCATGTGGTATAAATCCTATCAGTTTGGTTTCATTCTATTCAATAGACTGAGGAAATGCAGAAAGGATCAATTAAGTAACCAAATTAAGTTTGTTGCAGAACCCAGCTCGTTTATTAGCTGAGGGATTCTTTGAAAGAAAATACTTTTAGTGAATATTAAATAGAAACATTTAATGTGATAAATGGGAAATGAGAATTGGAGGAGGAGAAGTATTATTGTTTTGCACAGCTCAATTATTATCTTATGAAAAAAACAAAGCAACAATGGCCAATCACATCACATCATATCTTTTCATCGGAGTAATGAAAGGTAAGAGCAGGGAAAAAAGCTCTAGTCATAATATTCAGTACTTAATGAACTGTACCTTTCTCATAATTAGGGTCCCATCATATGGCTGCAGGAGGGAGGGACAGAATGACATAGCAAAAAAAAAAAAGCAGATACTTACGGTAGATAAGCAGACCCTCCTTGTAATTTGGCACCATCCCAGAAACAATCCAGTGGAGTCACAACAACACAGGGGAAGAGCTTCTCAATCATCTGGCAATAAAAGGAATAATAATCATGACACATTAATATAAATTCACAGAGCCAGTTCTCAGATGTGTATGGGGATTCATTCTTCTATTTTAATCTGTTAACATTTTCTTCATTTTACTGCATACCTGACTACTTATTCTGCAATCCTTTTCCTACTATTACTAAAATCTAAAAACCTATATTGATTTTTTTTGGAATAGAAATATTCTCTGGGGAACCAAGGAATACCATCTTAAATACAAAGTCTTCAATCCTAACAACACCTTATTCTGTAAGATATTGAAAGCCAAGTCCTAGCATTGGCTAATCAATGGGAAGTCTTCACTCTAAGGATAGCATCCTGGCTAATGTGACAGTAATTTGGTGACCTTGTACAAAGGGTCAAACACTGCAGTTTCTTACAATCCAAGCCTAAGGAATATAAAATTAGCAAAGATCAGGCACAGCTGAAAACAAAGAAGGACAAAATAAATTTTCCTAGTCCACAGAATGGAATGGAGATAGAAAAATCACAGGTAGCTGATATCTCAAATAGAGATAAATGAATGTTATTAGAATAAGAAATCCAGCGTATTAAAAAAACCCAGATCTCTGAATCCAAAAGGATGACTTGAAAAGCTGTTCTTTTGTGATGGCATTTTAAAAAGATTCCATCTATCCCCATAGTAACCTCAAGATCACCTCTAGCATCTACTCCATTCTCCAGTAAAACCAGCAATCCTCCAGGAAATTACACTATTCGACAAAGAGATCTTCCCACATGTTTTATCTCCTTTCTATAGCTACTACACAATGTTGGGACAAATGGGTTGTTGTTTTTTTGCTTGGCAGTTGCATACATATTTGCTTTAGATCAATGTTTCTCAATCTGGGCAACTTGAAGATGGGTAGACTTCAATTCCCAGCATTCCTCCAGCCAGCTGGGGAATGCTGGGAGTTGAAGTCCACCCATCTTCAAGTTGCCCAGATTGAGAAACACTGCTTTAGATTCTTAGGAAGACAGGTCTGTGAAATAAAAATAGCTGGCCTTTGGAGGTGGGTAAAAGTGTTTATGGATGTGTTTTGCTTTCAGAGTCCTAGTGAATCATTTCCATGCATATTTTAGCTTTATTTTTTTAAAAAGAGCATCAATAAAAATAGACATTTTGATGTTGGAATACTCTAGAGGCCTCAGATTGGAGCCTGAGGGACCAAATGCACACATGAATCTTGTTGTAGAGGCATATATTCCCTCGTATACTCACCCGTGCAATCATTCCATTCTCAATTATTGGGACACCTGATTTGTAGCATATTTTGTTGAGATCCCATGATCTAAGAGTAAGAGCAGAGATAGCAAACATCAGGAAATCAGGAGTTCTGGGAGAGACTTGTCCTAACTAATACAAGATTTATATGAAGATATTTAAATGAGACTTCAATATATTTCAAGACAATAAATTTCTGAGCATCAGGTCTTGGACAGAAGACCATAATTTGTATGCCCTATTTATGATTTTGTGGTAGGGTGTAGTTAGCAAGTGACTGCAACAGAATACTGAATTAACTAGATCTTGGTTTCATCCAATGATAGGTAATTCTGCAGACCAAGATTGCTTGTGGCTCCATTACCACAGACAATGCAGTTCAAAGAGCCATAGAAAAGCCCAACTACTTTCCCAGTTGCCATTAGCAGATAGAAATTTATTTATTAATTTATTTATTATTTGTTTGTCAAGTATGTATTAGATAAGTATAAGCATAAATTGAATACATAAAATGAATACAAATAAAGGGAACATTAGGACAGGAGCGGTAGGCCATCCACCAATTGATTTGCTACTGAATAAGGGATGATAACAGATATTCTGACCGTCTTGTTGGTAAGTTAATCAGCAAGTAAGCTAACTGGCAGGCAATGAAACAGTTGATTCTATATCTAGTAGAATGCTGGAAAAAGGAGGAAAATCACACAGCTTCTTTTTTCCTTGCAGTGAACCTACTCAAAATTAGCAGGAGGAAACCAACCATCTCCAGCAGAATTGCTGAGAGGAAAGGGATGGTGCTACCCAAACTAACAGTAAAACTGCTGATTTCCTGCAATGGAAAACCAGAGATCTGCAAGTACAGTTACGGAGGAGAGGCGCTTCTAATCTAATGAATGAATGAAAACACTCCCAACCGAACAGATCTTATTATTAGTGTATTACAGTTGCTCCATTTCAGACTTACTTTCCAAATAGTAAGACTTGCACTTTACTAGCAGCCAAAGCAGCTTCAAGATGCATTTCCAAGGCATCTGGAGTTAGGATGTTTTTTCCTTCCTGTTTGGGAGTTTGTATTAGCATCTGGGATGTGTAGAGAGATTCTTCACCAAGCTTTTCTCTTGTGTACCGGAGCTCTTGGCTGACACGACTGCCCTCTTGAGAGGGAGAGAGAGAGAAAAAAGAATGGAATCAATATATCTTTCTCTTATCTCTGCCACTGTTAAATCAGCTTTCACATTATCATCAATCAAGATATTAACATTGGGGATATGTTCATATCAAATGCAATTCAGTTAAAGTTTTACATACTACTACTTAATTTTAAAAGTAATCCTCAACATGAAACTATTTGGTTTGTGACCTTCTGAAGCTAAAATAGCCCTGAAAAAGTGACTTATGATTGGTCTTTGCACTTATGACTGTAGCAGCTTCCCCATAGTCATATGATCAAAATTTGGGTGCTTGGCAACCAGCATGTATTTACGAAGGTTGCAGCATCCCAGGGTCATGTGATCATCATTGTGACCTTCCCAGCCGGCTTATAACAAGCAATGTCAATGGGGGATTCATTTAAAGACATTATTTACATAAGAACCTCAGTGATTCACTTAACAACCATGGCAAAAAAGGGTTGTACAATTGGGCACAACTCACTGTCTTGTCTAACAGTGGAAATTCTGGTCCTGATTGTGGTAATAAATCAAAGACTACCTGTATTTTTTACAGATTCAAGATGAATAGTTCAGTAATGCATTTTTGTCATACTCAGACTTAAAATACAGATTCAACATTCTAATATATGTCATAGTAAAAGACTTGCGCCATCCACAGAGAGCATCTGCACCAAGTACCACACTGCCGTATTCACACAATGTCATTCTTATTGGATATCCTAGCTGATTACTAGGATCACTAATCTCAGCCTGCTGAATTGTCCAATAGATTCCACACTGGACAATGAAATCTAAATCCTTCTAGGGCAGTTTTATAACTTTCATAAAAAATATCTTGGTTGTTTTTCCCTCTTTACATAAGCAAAGTTTATCAACTAACTAACTGAAATACTTCAGCTCAGTTTAAATCAATTTCATAATCTCTCTTAAAACAAATCCTGCAGATAAGCAAAATGTTTTCCCCTAAATTTTTCCCACATTGCACTTTTACTAGTCTTTGAGCTCAAGCAAGCCATCTCTCATCTCTCCAACCCAAAGGCTGATCATTGCAACTTACAGCCATGGTTGCCCCATTTGGGAAAGACTTGGGTTGTGGCTTTTAATTAGAATTTATATGAAGAAAATCTGATCTGATAGTCAAGCTGCTTTGGTGTAATGTCAACAACACAGATTTATGTACTTTCAAAAACAGACAAGCATGTAGCATGTACTGAAAATGAGGAGAAAACAGTTATTTTTCTTCTTTTTTTTACAAAATGTAAGGATATGTTCATTAATCCAGGAATTGCTGTAGCTCAGTTGGAGCTACTGATTGACTGAAAATCTTTACACTTGCCTGTTGGCCAGCTGGAAAGATTCATGGTGTTCCTTGCCTGATTGTAACATTCTGAAATCAGCAGGAATAACACTAATTGCACGAATGACTTCAAAATGCTTTGAGAACTTGGAGAGTTGAAGCAGTAACATTAAAAAGTGCTAACAATGGAGCTAGACAGAAATAAATGTTAGTTCTGATGAATCCTGAAAGATATCAGAGATGTGCTCAATTCCCATTCTTCTTTGAAAGCAATGGATGGGGAAGAAAAATAAACACACCAGTTTCACGGCAAGAGGCTGCAAGAGTGGAAACAGTTGGATCAGGCAGATCCAAAACTGGTTCTGATTCACTCCTGCCCTGAAATGGGACCTTCTGTTGGCTACCACCACTCCAACTTTTCATTTGCCAAAGAACAGCAGATACTTACATTATGATGGAGTTGCCTCAGTGATGCTTTATCTGTGAAGACTCAGTAAATCACAGTTCTAATGTTTTCCAGCTATCCAAATTAAGGGATTGGGATTGCTTTTAACTGTGTAACTAATTAAAACTGCGTAAAATACACAAATTAAGATATGTATAACACTAAATGGCACCTAGCCTTTTACATTTCTAAATTTGACAAATGTAGTTTCAATAGTTATCAACTCCTTCCCTTCCTTTCCAATTATTTTTCCACTAAAATTCACCTGCCAAATTGACTTCTTGCATTGTGGAGGATCTTCCTTCTAAAGAAAACTTTGGACAAAAGCATAATGCGAAGTAGTAATTTCTGTGGGTTGGGCCTAGGAATGGGTAAGAAGGACTTGCCCCTTGTAGAACTTCCACAATAGATTTCAGCTTTAGTGGTTGTGATGTTTTCCGTTTGTGTTTTAAATAAAAGCATAAAAGTGTGATAAGACAAGTAGACAGTAAAGAGGATGAACTTGATGGAGAGTTCCATCAAGTTCCATTACCAAAAAGAAAAACATTGCTTGAGTCTAAATTATGGGGAAGATTACAAAAACACCTCAGATAGACCCTCCTCCAATTACACAAAATCTAAAAGAAGAAAGAGGGGAAGTACAATCAGACTTGCACACTTATATTACTATAGGCAATATAAATAAAGAGTTCCGTGGACTCTATTTCTTAATCTGGCTTACCTTGTAGAGTAGCAAGAAATCGTACATATGCAGAACACAATGTGGCCATTAATTTTGTGATATAGAAAACTGACTATTGTACATTGTACTAGTGTTTCAGGATTCACAGAAATGATATAAGAAATGAGAATTTTTATACTGTAAAGTGAAATACTTCTTTGTACCAAGAGTACAATGTATCTTGGAACTGTTGAAAACTTTAATGGTGACCTACAAGATGACTCTTCTTCTTGTCCATCAACTTCACAAATAAGTAGCCTCTTTGACATTCTTATGTCAAGGTACCTAAAAGTTAGTACAGGCAGCCCATTTCGGATCCCTGCCTAGGTACCCAAAACTGTGCCATTCCAATATTTTATTTCTTTAAAAATAGACAGCTTTCAATGATACATCTTTGCTCTCTCGGAAATAACTGTGTGAGAGCAGAAGTTAAACAACTCTAAACTGTAATCTTAAAACACTTCCCCTCCCAAACTGTCTGAAATTGTGCTGCCAATCCCGCTTTGCTCCCAGATTTGAAGAGTTGTGGGGGTTGAGATTTTTTTTAAAGATGAAAGTGGAAGTGACTTGCCTCCAGAAACTTCCTGCTTTCTTTCCCATTCTTCACACTCCTAACAATCCATCCCACACATTCCTGAAGGGTGATAGCATTCCCTATAGTTTTCCAGCTAATTAGGACAATGAGTTATAGCCCAAGACTTGAGAAGTTGCAACCCTCCATTGCTCTCTCTGTAGTCAATCCTCTGTTCAGCTCCCTGGGCCTTAATATTCTTTTAAATATCTTCTTGAGATTTGTAGCTGGTGGTTTCAGCTATGTGTCTTTGGACAATTCATTCCCCTTTGACTCTGCCTCCACTCATATCGATCACTTACTGAGGAACAGAGCAATACCATTTCTGTTGCCTACCATTAGCAACATTGTTGGCCCTCTTCTAGTTATTTCCATAACAGTGTTGATTTCTCCAATGAAGTAACACATGTACAATCAGGTACTTCATCTCAAGACAAACATGATGACTCAGTAGAGAACTGACACTGCTCTCCTTACGCCACCACTAGGGTCAAGATTTGCTGCATTGCATCTTAATGAAGGGGTGGGAGAGGATGTCTGCTAAAATGTCTTGCCAATTTATTGTAGAAACTCATGAATATCACAGATGAGTCTAGAACTTATTTTGGAAGCACAGTGAATTCAGGCTGAGAAATGCCCAAGTCACTAGTCTTATTGTCATCCTGCACAAACTGAGAGTGCACCTGGTACAGGCATGTATCCTCCGTGGCTGCATGATGCTTGGTGTAAAAGATGAAAATGGACAGGTAAAGCAGTCTTTCAGGACTATTCAACTGACTGTTCCATCTTCTCATTAAAATGCAGCTCCCTCATATTCTTCCCAGGATCCCCATTTTGAAGATATTATTTTAAGCTACTTCTTATAGTTATAAAACTATACTTCTTCACTTTGCTATATAATCAGTTACTTTAGGGTACAAGCAACTTTATATTCCTTTTAAATCCACTTTATTATTTTAAAGGGACTGATCTCCAATTCAAAGTACCCTCAGAAAAATGATACAATTCCTATGTTTCTAGAGAATGGTCCTATTGTTAAAGCAATCCCAAACCATTTAAATCTATAAAACAAGTATGTTTTTGACCAACTTGTCCCATATTGTAAGGACATAACTTCTATTTTATTTTATGTAGACAAACAGAGCTCAAGGCACAGAATTTCCAAGACTGAATTCTACTCTGAATCATATTCTCCCACTTTCATGTCTAATGCTCTGTTTTCTAGACTGTTAGAAAACACATACATAGTAGACACAATTCAATTGTTAAAATGCTACAAAAGCTGTTAACAGAATGTCACTGATAAAGCAATTTTCTAATTAAAGTTAGATTATTCAAAAAGATCAATAACAGAGAAATAATATGCATCCTCACCAGCTGCAATTTTTAGGGTTCATTACCGAGTATGAAAACCATATTGTGAAAAAAATCAAAATAGAAGTTATGTTGCAAGTGTCCCTTGTGGTAGAGCTATGGTCACAGCAAAAGTCTTAAATCTTGCACTAGAAAGTCCTTACTAATAATCAAGTTGCTACCTAAATACAGTATCTATATCATTTACAGCAAAAAATTTTGACCACTCAAGTTTTCATTATCAGGGCATTTAACTTTGGCATAACTTTTTAAAAACATTTTTAGACTTAACAACTGAAAATGAGGACATTAACAAAACCATAATTGGATAATTACTTTGGGCTAAAGTTGATATAATGTTAGAGGATTCTTTAATAGGGATTATGTATCTTCTAATAAGAATAGCCTATGTTTTTATGGTAATCTCATTGCTAAAGAGCTACTATTTTGTGACTTTTCAGTATAAACTATAATTCTAATACTGTAGTTTGCATTAGCTGAATTCTCTCAAAAACCCTCCTAGAATGCCAGTAAGGGAGGAGGCCATGCCAAGGAACATAGGGAGGGGACAGACACATTACATCCTTCGGAGCTG